CTATAAATTATTAGTGGAGCCTTGCTTACCACCTTTTTATCAATTGTTGTCTTCCTGGCTTCCACCTCAGCATTTTTTGTTAAATAAACCTAAATTTTAGGATTTTTGTACAAACCTTAGTTAATTCTACTAAGGTTTGTACAAAAAAATGCAATGATTAGAGTTTCTAGTTCAAATCCCTCCTCAGTACTTGTAAAACATTGTTTAAAGGTTTTCCATATGCACATACATTGGTTTGTGCGCTTTGCAGCAAATGTTTTGCTGTAAGATCTTGAACCACTGTGGATATCTTTCAAATAATTATCTTGAACCATTTTCCTCTAGAAGTTTTACTGTCTATAATATGATCTTATTAGCCCTAGAAATTTTGACTTCTACCTTCACTTTTGTCAGAACTTATGAGAAGAAACCTATTTTTTGGTCACCCTATTTTAATTGAGACGAGGCAATCAAGATTGCATTCTCTAACACATTGGTTTGGAATAGAAAGACAAAACTCCATGGTACTTAATGTAGGAGAATTCTGCAGCTCCTTTTTCAACATTTCGAAGGCTTCTTTCTGGGTTTGACCCCACCGATCAAATACACCATTTTTATGTCTCAAAGAACAAAAAATTCTTTGTATAAATTATCTGCAATGATTTACTTCATTCAAAAATCAATGCAATGCCTCGTAAGTTACTGGAATTGGGATAGCAGAAACGGATCTAACTTTTTCTTGCAAAAATTGTCTTGACCAATTAGCATGTAGACTTTGTGTTTGTTGCAATCAGCAGGACTAAAATCAAAGACAACTCACACAAGAGTGATATGCTCATCTTAATTCTGTATACTTAGCAAAAGCTTATCCAGATGCTTGAAGAAGAAAAAAAAAAACATTCTGGCCTAGAGAATTTTGATAGTATTTTTGCTCTAGACCTGAACTAGTCCAGCACTGATATCTAGACCAGGTGTTAATCAGGTGAATGCATAGTCTTTTTGGAATTTAAAAGCAAGTTTGTACTGACAACTTTTAGCTAACGGTATGGAAAAATGACTATTAGAGAGTCCTAGTACAGAGAACACTTTGGCCTTGGCATCCAAATGGGACATGATTTTAGGTAATCAGGAACAACTGCTTTGGTACTTGTGATGTGTTTGAGAGTCCTGAAATCAACTGATAAAGAATATGAATTATCAGCTTTTTTGATTGGCCAAATACAGTATTTACTGATTGTTTTTTTATCAAAATTCCTTGCTGTAAGAACTCCTGTATAATGGCTGAAACTAGATTGATTGATTCTAATGGGAGTTATATTGAACATGAGGTTTTGGATCCCTATCTTCAATATCTTTTAGCCAACCTGCTTCATTTTTGCCTTGACTCTAAAATATTTTTGTGTGATCAAACCAATTGTTTCAGTTCAAGGTTGTTTCCTGTATGTGGCCATTTATGGTCCAAAGACATATCAGAAATTGCTGTACAAATACTTCCAACAATACTGTGTAGAGAGGGATCAGTTAATGATTTGGGCCTGGATGGATCTTTCTAAATTATTCTATATCCCAAATCAATAACCCAGTTTAGCTTACTAATCACATCAATGCCAAGAATATTCTCTGCCTTGTGACACAACCAGATGTCAATGACAGTTTTCAGAAGTACTGGAATCTCAAAAGCCACATTAGAAAAAACTTTCTAGCAGTAGAATTACCTTTCCCACTAAAAATCAACCAAAAATACATATAGGAGAATTAGGATTCACGGGTCATTTTTGTCTCGTCAAACTCACTTCTCCACTATCTAAAATTAGTTTAATTTTGTTTCTACCATTAAGTAAACCTTATACACGTGGCGTTCCACTTTCATACAATAAAGTTGTAACATATTCTAATGAATCTTGATTTAATTTTGATATTGGCAATAAACCTTTCCTGTGAGTGACAATAAGGTTTACCATGTTATTTGCATTGCTATTGCTGTCTGTCAATATACTTCTGTGCAATCCACTTTTTCATTTCCAAAAAATAGTTTTGACTGAGATGCCTTACACTTTAGAAGTCAGACAAAAGTTGTTTTTTCATTTTCTATACCCACAGTTTTCATTTGTGAATCTAATTGATATGCTAACATTGTCTTTTAAATGACCAAATCATTTACAACAGAAGCAAATGCCATTTCCTGTCTACTCAATTTTCATTCTGTCTCTGACCTATTTGGGTGTGGCTATACGTGTAATGCCTTTGTTCACCATTTTGAACAGTTACACTGTCAATCTTGTGATTGGTTAGTTCAATTTATCTTCTAAAATTTAACAAAATATGCCACATTTTGCAAGTTTTGCTTCTGAGCAGCCACTGTAAAGGAAATTGAGTCTAACATAAATGTCTTTACAAAAGCTGAAATCATGGCAGCTGGAGTTTTGTCTTCCGCAATCCTCATAACCATTCTTTATTCCTTTTCATAAAAATAAATGGATCATCATTACTTTAAATTTGTAATTAATATAACATATCTGGAGTACCGTAATAATTTTTCTCTCTAGTATGAAAGTTAATGAATGCCTTTAAACTGTCTGACTCCGTGCAATGTATTGACTGTCCATCTGTTAGTACTGCTTGCATTGCTGGCTAAATTTATATGGCAGCCATGCCTTAAAGCATACATTTTTCTGCACAATTGTCAAGTTGTACCTATCTGTATATGATTCAAAATGTTCTGTATTATCAAAAACATTCCCATCATAAGAAGGAATATCAAAGATCTTAAGATTATGTTCTGCAGCTTTGGACATTAATTTTCTCTTAAAAAATATCCTCATCTTGCAAATCCAGTGCTATGAACTGGATTTCTGGTACAAAAACATTGCTTAGTTTCTTGCCTCTGGCTAGTCCCTCCCTTATATTTTACAGAAATTCTCATTACATCATTCTGTAATTCAGATGACTGAATATTATTGACTTGAATTTTATTTTGTAGATCTAATTGCTCAATCAATATCTGACAATTCACACATTCACTAAGTAAGCAGTATTACTAGTAGGAACCTCAAGAATCAGAATAAAAAAAAAAAAAATTAACCATTTCATCATGTTTCTAATTTTTTCGTTCAATTTTTCTATCTTAATATTATAACCATTCATTATACATGTATCACCAAAGCAGACCATTTTCAGCATAAGCAGATAGATTTTTGAATTCTAATTTATCGTCTCTAGTTAATTCATCGAAAAAAAAAAATCCATTACTTATACTTAATTAGGATGGTCTCCCTTCATACAATGCATTTTTGCTCTCTTGGATAAAAATTGCATCACCAAAGGACATCATTTTCTCACACATGTCCTCACCAATTGTGATGCTACGCTCTTTCAATGATGCCGATTGAAGGTTTTTATTTCTCCTGAAAGCTTGACTTCATAGTCTGCAGGCGTTGCACCCATCTTCCCTCTCGACAAGGTGAAGGATAAAAATATTCAGAGAAAATCAAACTGGCCGAAACTCAGCATATGTTTAAAATGAGGTTATTTTGATATTCTGTAAAAACTTAACAGAAATACCTTTTATTGGTGAGATATACTCAAATTGAAAACATCCTTCCAGCTCTTGTGCAAAAATTCAAAATGGATTTAATAGCAAACTAGCTTAAAATGACAAGAATAATGCGGAATAAAAAAAGTAAAAATTAGTATAATTAGGTTCTTGAGATAAAAATTGTGTAAGTATATTATGTGTGAGTGTTAAAAAAAAAAAAAAAAAAATTTCATGCCCCCACCTTTCCAAAAGTGGGCTGGTTTTCCATCTGCATCTACACACGAACATCTTCCAAAGAATACACTTGGCTTCTGAAATTGGATTCTCCCTACAAGGGGCCTCTCTTCAGTGGCAGATGTTTTTGGTTAAAATATAACATTTGGTAACATGTTCCACCCATTTTTTTTGTAACATGTTCCCACTCCTGTATCTGCTGTGCCTAGTGACAGAAAGCAGGGAGATGATCTTCCCCATCTTGCGGTCACTATTTTTTAAAAACCACGACCGTGTGTGGCTCTGCCCACCCGTGTAATTCATTCACAGAGTTCCATGAAAGAAAAACTACATTAACCCACAGTCTTTGCCGCTGTTGGCTTGTAATTCTCAATGAACTACCATGGTGATGTTGAATGTTCTGGTAGTTCATGGTCTCTTCCAGTTAGTGTGCATCTGTCTGCCCATATGAGGTACGAGCAGACAGATACACTGGCAAGTCAGCAGGAGTCCTGCATTGCACCCACAATCTGATCGTGGATGCAATGCTTTACAGGCTCCAAGTAGAAAAAAAAAAATAAATGCACTTTTTTTTTTTTTTACATGCAAACTATGTGCATTTATTTATTTAAATGGTGAACTTTAAAATCCTTTAAATCTTACAATTAGGCTGAAAAAGGTGCAAAACATTCCATATTTCATTACCTGCAATCTTCCTTACCTATATTGTCGGATAGGACAGAAAAAATGTACCCTACTTTTATATAATTTTCTTTTTCTCTATGCTCTCCATCAAAACCTCCCAGTTATCCCCTTCAGCAGCTTTATCACCGCCACAATTTCTTCACTCATATCTTCTGGCAGCAGAACTTTTCAGCATCTTTGCCCCTTCTTTGAACTATGGAAATCTATGAGAAGCAAGTGCACTGGTGCCAAGAGGATTTCTACTGCTGGGAGGCAAAGGATTTAAGTGGCTGCAATGTTGATATTGAGGTAGGTATCCATCAGGAGTAGGATGGGATTTTTATTTTTGCCAGAGAACCTAAAAACTTTAATAAAGGAATTATGCATTGAAAAAGCCATCCTATAAACAAACACTTGCACTTTAAAAGATTTGATTAGCTGAAAGTAGGCATATTCTGCGGCATGGTACAGTGGTAGGAAGATAAATACAATGGACTACAAACAGTAAATTACTTTATTATTGTAGCAATGTTAAAGTTGCTCTGCACATATATGGCACTTTGATCTCTATTTATATTACAAAACTGTATTACTGTGCGTTGGCCTCTTCATTTATAAGTTTGGAGAGATTCATTTTAGTTTTTTCCATGGCAATGCTTTTGGCTCTTCTTGAAGGTCTTGTACTGACTGTAGATGTCTGTGTCTCTTCCTTTTTGTCCCTGTGGACCATTCAAATTTTTAGTAAAGAGACCTGAGATACAGCAAGAACATGCAACCCCAGCTTAATTATACAATATACCCCCACATTCCCAAGCAGAAAACCACCACTAGATTAGTGATAGTAAATCCACCCAATCAGAAACAAAAACTTGTGTGGTTGCACATTTTAGGGACCCAATTGGAGTGATCACCATTAAGATTCTAAGTTCCACTCAAATTCCACCCAGTTCCTACAAAGCCACGTTCTACACAGACAAAATAAGTCCGGCTACAAGAGCAGGGGGTAGGGTTCCCTTGCTATGGCATTCTGGGATCTGTATGTGGTGCTAACCAACAAGGTGAAATCATATTCCTTCCTTGAATATCTAGAACTGAAATATGATCTGTGAGCAGAATTCCCTTTAAAGCATTTTATACTGGAGATATTTTTTCAGGATAATTAGAGCTATACAGTATACTACAGCACATTGATATACAAAATGCGATATTTTCTCAGAGTTATACAGAAAGTTTAGAAACATAAGCATTGAGAGTTCACCTGTAACTGTAATAGGTACCCTCCATCAGCCTCATATAGTACAGAATGAAATTTGGCAACCCACCTAAATTAGTTGTTCAGTGACTTAAAAGATGAACATCAGGCAAACATCTAAATACATGGGAGTGGTTTTTACATAGAATTTGTATTTTGTCCATCCAGTGCTGCGATGTACACAGCTCAGTTTTGCATAGCAGGGGAGAAACCCTTTTTGCTTTCTGCTACACCAGTATGCACCAACCAGTGAACCCCATCTAAGAGCAGTGAAGTAATCTGATATATTTTAGGAATAGTATATAAATTCCTACGCTTGTTATTTTAATTTGTAAGATTTTCTTAGTCACTCTGGTAAGGTTGCTACATTAAAAAAAAACATGATAGGCAGTGCTTCTATTCATATCCATCAAAACTTATGACATTTATATTTTGAACATACCCATCACCATCCCCTCGATCGGTAGCCCGGCTACTCTTCTTCCTGGTCCCTGTAGAAGGTGCCTTTTTGCGACCTGTAGAGATAAAATCATGCCATTAGCACGGGTACATTTATCATCCAGACTGCAAAATGAAGTATTATCCAAAGTGTTTCCTTTTAGTTTTGGATAGTGAAGAAGTTTTAAACACCCCTGTCAGGATACAACTGCTGTGTCCCCCTGCTGCGGAGATTCACCTGCTATATTTCTTATGGTGTCTATATTCACTGGGACATAAGGTGACAGAAAATCCAAAATGTTACAGATGTTCTCAGGATAGGGATGGGGGGGAATTTCCAGTGGGGACATTTATTCTTTAAAGTTTGATCTTTGGGTATACTTTAGAACACTATCTATATAATAATGCCCCCACCCCCCACGTAATATCTTGTGCCAAGGAAAGATTGGTGCACGCTCTCCCTTTTGAGAACCAGCAGCCAACGTATGGCTGAGTGGTTCCTGATCATGTAATCACTATGTAAGCTCTGAAATAGTGCAGATGAACATTGACACCTACTGTATTAGTAGTTCAACTGTCAGATACGCCTACACTATTAAAAATACATTAAGATTTTTTTTTTTTTACATTGTTGCACATTAGCCAGTCTAACAACATTTTTAATAGGAAAAGTGTACAAATAAAAGCTTTCTAAATTAAGGCGTGCAAAGTAGTGCATGTTACATTAAATGACACTTCTATAATTTGACTAAATTATCAATGACACAAAGGAGTTAAAGACCGTTTTAGGTTAAATTCAAGGAATTGTATGGATTATATTACCTTTGCTGGGTTTTCCTTTTACAGACTTCATCTTTGAGGAGTCAGCATTTTGTTCTTCAAAGACATCATCATTTTCTTCATTTGGTTTTGCTAGAAATAAAACAACCACACTGGTTAGCAGCTGACGACCTATCCTTGGATTGTAAGTAGTTGAACAACAACAATAGATCCATGGTACACAAACACATTTCAATGTCCTGGCAACCTTACAACCAATATCAGTACTAGAAATGTATAATTCTGAAAGTATGGCTTTCATGTATTACTATGCACAGTATTCAGGCAGGTTTCATGAGACAAATACCAATATATTGGCAGAAAAGATCCTTAGGGTCTATTCAGTCAGCTTAACCAATAATTTTAACTATATGCACCCAACTTCATAAAGTGGTTCTAAAGGCAGAAGGTTTTTTTTTACCTTAACATTCTCTGCAGCTTCAATCCCATCCCCCCCCCCCCACACACACTTACCAAAGCCCAATTTGTGCATGTTCGTGGACCATCGACAGACTATGGTACTCAAAAATCTCCATAGGCGATGCTTTAAAAGCCTTTACAGGTTACCAGTTTAGAGTTACCTTTATTTGCCTGCCCGGGTTGCTCTTAAACAACAGTGTGCCTGTCAGGCCCTGCAGATATCTACTGGCTATGCCAAAAACTTAAGTGTCTGGAGAACAGGGTTGTTGAGCAGGAAGTGAGGATGTAACTTTCCCTGTGGGATGCATATAGCTATTAATGAAAGCTTTAAGTCTGATGAAAGGCATCATGGTCCATGTACTAAGTATGCCAATCACACAAGATACTACTTGAGAAAACCTGTGTTACCTTCTATGTTTTCTTCATCATTCGCTACACTTGTGGCTTCCTGTGCGACAGCACCTTCCTCCTTGGAATTCTTGTTGTTACTTAATTGCATCTTGACCTTTTCTAATGCCCTCTCGCACACTTTATCTGTTATATCCTACAAAATATAAAAAGGTCACAACGGAAAAAAAACCTGAAAGAGCCAAGAAGGTAATTTGTAGGAGGGTGGGGGGAGGAGGTGGATCTTTGCTGGTTACCACTAGCTCAACTATTATAGAAAAACTCTAAAGGGGAATCAGAATGTAGTTTTAAAGTAAATCTGCTGTAAAACTTGGCAATTCAAATTCAACTGATAATAAAATGCAGAAGCAGGACAGTTTAAGACGTCAAGTGAAAAGGATCAGTAGTAGCTAGGTATTGTCTACCAAACATCTTTCTCAGTCAACTTTTTGTCCTAGTGTAAGTCTGCCCTGTTAATGCATGCCAAAGAATTCTGCATGTATATTAATAAGGTTAGATGTCATTTTTTTGTCCTCTAAACTAGTGTCAACTTTTTTTCAGTCAAGGCACCCTTTAAAATTCAGCACAATCTTAACCCCTTGGTGCCGGCACCTCCCGGCCCTTTAAGGGTTTCAGAAGCCGGGAGGTGGGGTGGGTTTTAGGGTCATGTGACCGCCATGACACGCCGTCACATGATCAGGAAAGGTCCCGATCAAAAGAGGAGATCGGGACCTTTCCGTGAGTACCGGACATGTGTCCTGGGAGCTTGCAGGGTGCGCACTCTCAGCACGTTTTTTTTTTTTTTAATAGAACGCAAATGTGCAGCGCTCGCTGTCTAGGCCCAGGCGCCGGGAGGCCGCACATTTGCATTCGGCCAGTGCAGAGAGGTTTAGGAGCCCTTTAAAATCCTGCGGCACCCATTACAAAATATACAAACTAGACTAATAGTGTAGTTTTACAGGACGCAGCAGCATCTGCACATGCGGGACACCCAATGTTAGAGGGGATTTTTTCTTCCAAAGAAAATACACCTTTGTACACTGGTACTGTCCAGTATTCCATTGTTTCTCTTCTCCCTCAGTTTCTCTCTCTCTTACTCAGCTAATGTGACCCCATTGCTGACTGACAGGGACAAGCAAGGATGCTGTGTGCCTGCTGTCCTTCTCAACTAATGACATCACTGGTTGTTATGTCACCAGCAGTTAGAAAGTTGTAATATTAGACAATGAAAACCTGTGGCTTTGTGTAATTAAAGGCCTGATCCACCTGCTGGCGTGGAAATAACTTTTGGGCAATATTTAGGAATTTTTCCAAGGCACCCTTGTTGAAAAAGGTTGCTCTAAACACTATGTAATAGATCTGGACAAGCAGTATACCCATGCATGGAACATTCCAACTTTTTGGTTAGTACCCTTGCTTTGCTGTGCAGAGTTCTCTCACAAGGCATACTAACTGAATGACGTTTTAGGTCTATTTAGATTCACAAGAAAAACAATTTTGAATGAAAGCCATATCTGCATTGCTGATAAGGTTATGATATTTTAACCACTTGCCCTCCTGAGGATTTACCCCCCTTCCTGACCAGGACATTTTTTGCATTACGGTGCTGTGTTACGTCAACTGACAACTGCGCGGTCATGCAACGCTGAACCCAAATGAAAGGTACGTGCTTTTTTTTTTCCCCCACAAATTGAGCTTTCTTTCTGTGGTATTTGAGTTTTTTTATTTTTTGCGCTATATAAAAAAAAAAATGACCGACAATTTTTAGAAAAAAAAACAAAACTATATTTTTAACTTTTTGCTATTAAACATATCCAGTAAAAAAAAATTAAAAAATCAAATTTCATCATAAATTTAGGCCAAAATATCTGCTACATGTGTCTGCTAAAAAAAAAAATCCCAATAAAATAAATAAATTAATTGGTTTAAGTGAAAGTTAGTGTTTACAATTGGCGGTATAGACACTGGAATTTTTTTTTTTTTACACTAGTAATGGCATCAATCAGCGACTTATAGCGGGATTGTGGCGGACATTCTGACACATGGGGGGGAACTGACTTGGTGTCACTGACATCCCCAGTGACACAATAGAGTGATCAGTATATATATATATATATATATATATATATATATATATATTTATTTATATTAAAAAAAAAAAACCACACTGACATTGTACTAACGGCACTGGGCAGCAAGGGGTTAACATCAGGGGCGGTCAAAGGGTTAATTGTGTGCAGGGAGTGTTTTACATAGGGGGCAGTATGTGTGGGCTTTACTGTAATCACACTGCTCTGGATAACTGTGCACACCCATCCAGAGCAGTGTGCCCGAGCTGACAGGGAGGACGACTGTTAGTAAACAAAGCAGTCCTCCTTCCCCTCAGAGATGCTCGGTAATCACCGGCTGAGACCTGGTGAATGACAGCCATGACCACGAATGGCGGCGCGGGTAGGGCACGTGCCCCCTACCCGAAAACACAAAATCACGCATATATACACGTGATTTTGCACACCCATGCTGCCCTGTAGCAGTATATCTGCTATAGGGTGGTCGGGAAGCGGTAAACTCTTTCAGAAGCACAGACAGACATTAATTAACAGCTGACAGAATTTGTTGTCATTATATAAACACCCAAAGCAATCTCCCTCCTATAAAACAATACATTGATAAAACTATAATTCTATCACTTTACAAAACTCTGGTATGGCCACATATTGAGTATACAGCTCAGTTTTGCTCACTAATCTTCAAGAGGGATGGAGAGAGTCCAGAGAAGGGTGACAAAACTAATTAGGGGCTTGAAGACCTCAATTTTGAGGAACTATAAAAATTAAACATATTTCCCCTGGAAGTGAAGAAACACTTATAAATGGTATGATCGCAATATACAAATCTTTAAATGATGACTATCATTGGGAGAAAAATATTTAATCTACGGTTCCAAAAGAAGAAACGTGACCACATACTATTCCAGTAACGTCTTACTGCATGTTACTGCAATATGGTGGGTGCAAAGGAGTCGTAAGTGTGTTTTGTAAGAATCGCCTTGAATTCCATTTTATAAATGAACAAGGAAAAAAACAATTTAAACATTCAAGTCTTCATTTCTGCATAGGATGAAAAGATGTTGTACCCCCATGTAAAAGCTCAGACAATGCTCTGCTTCTGTGGGGCCTTGGCAATAAACGTGCAGTTTGGTTAAATATTTAGCCCCTTCTCTGATAAAAGAAACTTGAGAAGAAACTTTTAGTGGAACTTCTGCAATGCAGTTACAAAAAAAATAAAGCACATACAAATAGGAGATCTGTTTTTTTCAAAGTACATTTCTTTCCATGATGTACAGGGCTTAAAATTTCAAGTCCTCAGCTACTTGCCAGGCCTTAATAGTTACTCGCCACCAAACACACACAAACAGACACCTGTACACACACACAGACATGTACTTACACACACACGCACAGAGACACATACACATACAGACAAATGTATACACACACAGGCACGTACAGACACGCATACACACAGATACATGTACATACACAGAAATACACACGCACAGAAACATTTACATGTACATACACACAAACACACACGTACATACACACATACATGCACACACACATACATGCACATACATGCAGAAATATGTACAAATACACACATGCACACACAGACACACCAAACACAAACACATGTACACACACACACACGCACGCTGTTAAGTGCTAAGTGCCATCTCCTCTCCCCTGAATCCACCACTGGCTGACAGAGGATGTAACCAGGGTGAGCTGAAATTAGGTAGACACAAACACACACACAGCCCTAAAAAATGTTGCAGTACTTTGTTGTTCACTCACAGAGCCGGGCACTGCACTCTAGGGGGAGGCAGGGAGCACAGCACACACTCCTTCCTTTGCTTTCACTGCGCTAAGCTATTGAGCAGTCTGACAGCTTGCAGTGCCAATGACAGATCCGGCCTGAGCTCCGAGCCTGCTCAGCAAAACGGCCCTGGGGGACACACTCGCCCCCACCATAATTTACACTCGCCATTGGCAAGCAGGCAAGTGGAAATTTCAAGGCCTGACATATAGTATATTTTAATCTCCTTTCTACCCTCTGCACAATCTACTGACTTAGCTCTCCTGCTGAAGGACTTTAGATATGCACATTACGGATATGCAATACTAATTCTTAAAGTGTATGTTACCCCAACATTTCATATTCCTGATAAGTGTCTGTTGTACCATGTACTTGTATAAGGGTGGTTTCCTGTTCCCTTTACATTTCTTCTTTGAGAAATACCTGTTGTTCCTTCCAGTCTCTCTGCTTTCCCATTTCAAACTTACTGCTCTATGCATGGAAGTACATCCATCCCAGTGTGGTCAGTTTTCTTCTTTGCATTGTACTTGGGAGCAGAGCCTGTCTGTAAACCAATCGGCAAGCTTATACCTGACATGCCCCTCTGCACACCTCCCAACCAGAAAGATCAGTGTACTGTTGTTTCTCTGCCTCCCCTTTGCAAGCCCCATTTGGTCTCTACCCCCGTGTCATGTGATCTATATGTATATATATATATATATACATATACATATATATATATATATACACACACATACATACACACACACACACACACATTATATATATATACACATACACACATATATATATATACATATATACATACACACACACACACACAACCAACAAGGTAAATGTATTTTATTGGGATTGTATGTGATAGACAAACACGAAGTAGCACGTAATTGTGAAGTGGAAGGAAACTGATAAATGGTCTTCAGAATTTTTTACAAATATCTGAAAAGTGTGGCATGCATTTGTATTCAGCCCTCCCTTTACTCTGATACTTCTAATTAAAATCTAATGGAAACAATTGCCTTCAGAGGTCACCTAATTAGTAAATAGAATCCACCTGTGTGTAATTTAATCTCAGTATAAATACAGCTGTTCTGTGATGCCCTCAGAGGTTTGTTAGAGAACATTAGTGAACAAACAGCATCATAAAGGCCAAGGAACACACCAGATAGGTCAGGGATAAAGTTGTAAAGTTTAAAGCAGGGTTCGCTATTAAAAAAAAAAAAAAAAAACCCCAAGCTTTGAACATCTCACGGAACACTGTTAAATCCATCATCCGAAAATGGAAAGAGTATGGCAGAATTGCAAACTTACCAAGACATGGCCGAATGCCTAAACTGACAAGCCGGGCAAGGAGAGCATTAATGAGAGAAGCAGCCAAGAGGCCCATGGTAACACTGGAGGAGCTGCAGAGATCCATAGCTCAGAGTGGCAAGAAGAAAACCACTGTTGAAAGAGCCATAAGAAGTCCCGTTTGCAGGTTGCGAGAAGCCATGTGGGGGACACAGCAAACATGTGGAAGAAGGTGCTCTGATTAGATCAAAATGAACTTTTTGGCCTAAAAGCAAAATGCTATGTGTAGCGGAAAACTAACACTGAGCATCACCCTGAAACACACTGTCTACACTGTGAAATATGGTGGCGGCAGCATCATGTCGGGAGGATGTTTTTTTTCTTCAGCAGGGAAGCTGGTCAGAGTTGATGGGAAGATGGATGGAGCCAAATACAGGGCAATCTTAGAAGAAAACCTGTTAGAGTCTGCAAAAGACTTGAGACTGGGGCGGAGGTTCACCTTCCAGCAGGACAACGACCCTAAACATACAGCCAGAGCTACAATAGAATGGTTTGGATCAAAGCATATTCATGTGTTAGCATGGCCCAGTCAAAGTCCAGACCTAAATCCAATTGACAATCTGTGGCAAGGCTTGAGAATTGCAGTTCAGAGAAGCTCCCCATCCAATCTGACAGAGCCTGAGTTATTTTCCAAAGAATGGGCAAAAATTTCACTCTCTACATGTGCAAAGCTGGTAGTTGCATATCAAAACAGACTTGCAGCTGTAATTGCAGCAAAAGGTTATTCTACAAAGTATTCACTCAGGGGAGCCGAATACAAATGCACGCCACCTTTTTGAGATATTTGTATTTTTTTTTAATTTTGAAAAACATTTATCATTTTCCTTCCACTTCACAATTATGTGCCACTTTGTGTTGGTCTATTACATAAAATCCCCCAATGTTGGTTGTAACATTACAAAACATGGAAAATTTCAAGGGATATGAATACTTTTTCAAGGCACTGTACTTTAATAAATTACAGCTTGTATTAGGTTAGTGCTCTAATAGAAAAAATTGTGATAATGGTGTTTGGTTGTCATCAAACATCAGGATACGAAAAAAATGTGTGACAATATAAGCACCGTGTAACAGGATCTTTAGCTTACCCAAATGGAAAAAAAGACAAATAAGGCAAATTATAGTTCCCATAACCATTACCTCTAGAGCTATGTCCAAAACTGGCAGCAGCTCTGTTGCAAACTCTTTCGACAGCTCAAGGGAGCACAAAGATTTTGCATATATACGAACATCTGGAGATGTAGGATCTTTCAGTATTTCATTGCATATTTTTAGAGCCAAGCTGTCGTGTACTGTGGAAATCTGAAAAATAACAGGAATTATCAGAAAATACATTGAAGGAAGTTCTTCAGTTAACTGTATATTTGTCTGACCACCATCCAGGAAGACAGCCTGCCCTCTGGATAATGTAATGGGCATCTGAGGCCAAGCAACCCCTCATACATCACAAGCGTGGCCTGCGGCATATTATTAAGCATCACAGTACTAGAACTGGGGGCTATATTATTGGAGATCAACTACTAAAGACACCCAACAGGAAAATAGTCTTGATTCTTTGCTACATCAAAGGCTGCCTTGCCAACTATTCATTATGCAGCAGCATCTTTTACAATGTCTTTATCAGAAAGCACCATTAGATTGCAGAACATTCAAGTATTCTTTCCCAGATAATTTTTCTGTGTGCCGTTGCTCAATACATGGATAAGTTACATCTAGGAGTGAAAAACACATGTGATGTGCTCACTCCATTTAGAGCATTTAGCCTGTGTGCTTTCAAAGAATTAAGTGGTATTAAAGCCAAAAACAAAAAATGTATCCTATGGCAGTTTATCAATTCTTAGATGTGGTGGCTGCATTGCACAGAGTGAGTGATATCATCTCAGCCTGGCCAATTAAAATGGCCAGGGATTGATAACTAAAGGCACCGGGGTGAAGATGGCAACAGCCAGCAGGGAGCCCAAGACATCAAAGGCCTGGAGCGAAGGCGAGTATAGCTGCGCTTTAAATAGTGTAAGCAGTGTATGAGCTAGCGCATCAACACGTCCCTCTGGTCAATGCCTCGATCCAAAAAGGTGTTTCTGTTGCTCTTCCATCCAAAGTGGAGATGCCCCAAGACAGGAAGCATGTTCCTAGCAGGATCATCAGGAAAAATAAAAACAAGAGACAAAACAAAATAAACTCATGAAGCCACCACATTTAACAACTGGTGAGCTGCAAAATATTGCATTTTTGTTTTTGGATATATTACTTACTGAAAATCAGGAAGGTTTTTGCACCTTAATGCAGAGAATTAATTCAAGAATATTAAACCCAACATTACATAATCCTGATATGTGCCTGCTGCACCATGTACTGAAGAGATCAGTGTATCGCCATACCTCTTCCCTCTTGTCTCAATGCAGCTGGGAACAGAGGATATCAGTTTAAAAAAAAAAAAAAAAAAAACACACAGGGGGGTAGGTGGGAGGAAAGGTATTTATGGTTTTTTATATCTATACACAAATGTTTTACCTTTCCTTTCTTAAACTGTATGGGTTGTTATAAACTTAGTCAGGTTTGAAACTTTAAAACAATAAATGTGCACAGTGTCAGTTACAGAATACGCTTACCTGATAATCTGGGGAAATATTCTTTTGTGCTTTTAATCCACTTGGCCTTGTTAGATCAACCAGCAGTTCGGCAACATTGGAGACATCAACATCAGCAAGTGGAGAGGAAGCTGGGGCGTTAAAGAGGGTCTGTAGCGTAGGCAGGAAAGCTTCTTCAAAGCACTCCTGATTTATTCTATAGAAACAAGTGGTTGCAGTACATTTATTGGTAAACAAAAGTTATTTAGAGGATTTACCCCCTTCCGGACTAGGCCATTTTTGTGATATGGTGCTGCATTACTTTGACAATTGCGCAGTCACGCAACGCTGCACCCAAATTAAATTTGTGTCCTTTTTTCCCCCACAAACAGCGCTCTCTTTTGGTAGTATTTGATCGCCATTGCGGTTTATTTTTTGCACTAACAAAAAAAAGATTGGACAATTTTGGAAAAAAAAAAAAACAATATTTTTTGACTTTTTGCTATAAAACATACCCAGTAAAAAAAAAAAGTGAAAAAAAAAAATCAAATTTCATCATAAATTTAGGGCAAAATGTATTCTGCTACAAGTCTTTGCTAAACAAAAAATCCCAATACATGTAAATTAATTGGTTTACATGAAAGTTTTAGGGTCTACAAATTAAGGTACATATACACTGGAATTATTACTTATTTTTTTATACTAGTAATGGTGGCGATCACCGACTTACAGCAGGACTTCGGGATTGCGGTGCGCATTCTGACACTGGAGGGGAACTGACTATCTGCCACTGACATCCCCAGTGACACTAATACAGTGGTCATTGCTAATAAAAAGCACTGACACTGTACTAATGGCACTGGGAAGAAAAGGGATAACATCTGGGGCCAAAGAGTTAACTGTGTGCTGTTTTATTATGTGTGCTGCGTGTGTTTTACCAGAGAAAAACTATGCAGAGCAATACAAAGCAACATGCCGGTGCTGACAGGGGAGAGATCTGTGTTTACATACAGACCTTTCCCCTGTTACTGTTCCTTGGTGATCGCCGGGTGGGACCCGGTGATCGACAGCTGTAGCCAATGGGGGTGCGCGCCCCCTACCTGGAAATACAAAATGACGTATATATACATGTGATTTTGCGCAGTTCTGCTATAAGGCGGCAGGGAACAGGTTATAAAAAATTTAAATATTTGAATAGTTTACCATACATGTGGTTTCCATTAAATTTAGTCAGAGCTCTAGCTGTGACTCAGAAGAAGATTTCTTGTATCTCTTTAGAGAGACCACTGATTCCACACAAAGCAAAAATCATACTCTGCAGCAAGCTGGCACTTAATAATAATCCATTGAATAATAATTTATTCAATGGATATAAAGATCAGTTTGGTTTTAGGTACCGTATTTTCCGGCGTATAAGACGACTTTTCAACCCCTGAAAATCTTCTAAAAAGTCGGGGGTCGTCTTATACGCCGGTGCGAGCCGGGCAGAGGGGCTGCTGTACCTTACCTGGCTCCGGTCCCACGACGATCCGGTCCAAGAAGCGCGGCTGCTCCTTCTTTCAGTTCGGCAGCTCGATGGCCACGCTGCCGCTCGGCTCCGCCTCCTCACCGGTGATTGGGCGCCAGCACTGGAAAGGCACACAGGCGACCAATAACCGGCGAGGAGGCAGAGCCGAGTGGCCCCGCGAAAATTGAGGGGCCGAACTGGAAGGAGCAGCCGCTCCTCTCCCCCACTGACACCAACGATGAGACACTGTTCCTACCCACTGACACCAACGATGAGGCACTGTTCTCCCAACTGATACCAATGATGGGGCACTATTCCTCCTCCCCACTGATACCAATGATGGGGCACAATTCCTCCTCCCCACTGATACCAATGATGGGGCACAATTCCTCCTCCCCACTGATACCAATGATGGGACACTATTCCTCCTCCCCACTGATACCAATGATGGGGCACTATTCCTCCTCCCCACTGATACCAACGATGGGGCACTATTCCTCCCACTGATACCAATGATGGGACACTATTCCTCCCACTGATACCAATGATGGGACACTATTCTATTCCTCCCACTGATACCAATGATGGGACACTATTCCTCCCACTGATACCAATGATGGGACACTATTTCCTCCCACTGATACCAATGATGGGACACTATTCCTCCTCCCCACTGATACCAATGATGGGACACTATTCCTCCTCCCCACTGATACCAATGATGGGACACTATTCCTCCTCCCCACTGATACCAATGATGGGACACTATTCCTCCCACTGATACCAACGATGGGGCACTATTCCTCCTTCCCACTGACACCAACGATGGGGCACTATTCTCCCCACTGACACCAACGATGGGGCGCAATTCCTCCCACCGACACCAATGATGGGGCGCAATTCCTGCCACCGACACCAATGATGGGGCGCAATTCCTCCCACCGACACCAATGATGGGGCGCAATTCCTCCCACCGACACCAATGATGGGGCGCAATTCCTGCCACCGACACCAATGATGGGGCGCAATTCCTGCCACCGACACCATTGATGGGGCGCAATTCCTGCCACCGACACCAATGATGGGACACTATTCCTCCCACTGCCACCAATGATGGGGCACTATTCTTCCCACTGACACCAATGATGGGGCACTATTCCTCCCACTGACACCAATGATAGGGCACTATTCCTCCCACTGACTAATGATGGGGCACTATTCCTTACACACTGACACTAATGATGGGGCACCATCATTGGTGTCAGTGGGAGGAATAGTGCCCCATCATTGATGTCAGTGGATGAAATAGTGCCCCATCATTGGTGTCAGTGGGAGGAGTAGTGCCTCATCATTGGTGTCAGTGGGAGGAATAGCACCCCATCATTGGAATACCATACTGAAATACCATACCATATTGAAATGAAATCTGATGTTTTTTCATTTTTATTTGGTGTGCGTTGGAAGAGGGGTAGTCTTATACGGCAAGTATAGCTCAAACCCTATATTTTAACAGGAAAAGTAGGGGGTCGTCTTATACGCCCAGTCGTCTTATACGCCGGAAAATACGATATATAGGACTATGGAAGGGGTTAAAGCTAAATTCCAGGTATAGATATTTTTGCATAGTTCAATATGTCTAGCTTGGACCAAGTATATGCATGCCATACTGTGAAAGCCAGAAATCACTGTAGTAGGCACTGCTTCTATAGTAATTACTACCAGCTTTTGGTTCTTATGCTGAACAGCTGCCCAACCACTTAGTAAACACAGGAGGTTGTTCACTTAGCAGGAAGGCCAATGTACCTATTCAAAAATATCCATGCCTGGAATTTGGCTTTAACGGATATGTGCATTTTATATACTGAGAGGGTGTGAAGCAGCAGAATGTCATGTGAGAAAATTTTGAAAATGCTAGTTGCTGGGCGATGTTTTTGTTTTATATTTCTGAACCACTAACCTCAGAAAAGATTGGAAGGTTGTGGGGTGGGGGTTTCAGAATTCACATATCTTACCGAGACGAATAAGCAAAAATTGGGAAGAAGACACCAAGGCAGTGACGCAGTTTTGTGTCCTCTTCAGTCACTGGATTGTACCACAGAAGTATCAGACGTGACAGGAGCTTAGCACTTTTCAATCTTCCTGAGAACATCAGTTTGGCTAAACCTTCAGCAGTTTCTGTCCTGATTTCTGGAACCTGAAAATATTAAAGAGAATTCTGCTATATTTCACTTTGTCTCTGGGCACAAGCTGTAAAAGCATAAACAATCACTTCACTTGAACCACCAAATTATAATCAGACCTAGTAAAATCACGCCTGCATATCTGACTCACTTACCCTTGCAGACACCCCCTGGATAACTTGAATGAAAAGATGGGATTATCCAAGCCAATGATTACCGTTCATTCTGGATACAAGCCAACAATAAAATGTTTTGAAGTGCTCACCCTCCCTCCTTTATAGGTATAAACACCTACATTTAGCTGATCCATACATGTGTATTTATGCTAACAATGTTTACTGGTCAGAACAGGCCTGCATGTCCAAACATGATTTGCAGAAAGCTGTAAATGATAAGGCTGTGGACCTACAATATTCATTTATTAAGATAACATCAAGAAACAGTGAGAGGTTTCTGCCGATTACACTGTTCAACAAATTTTTATTTTTTGCCAGTTTTGGAAACAAAAGGATCCATTTCTTAATGAATTTCACATTCTGAGTTCAAATATAACAATGAAATTTGTCAATTGGCTCTAGTTTTTCTGTAAACGGAAAGTTTTCTACTATAGGCGTAATGACTACATAATGCACAATAATTATATAGATAGATGTCTTTCCACAAATATAAAGCAAGTGATATTGACTACATAACAAAGCCTAAATGGCATAATATATTGCATAGGATTACCAAGAAAAATTATAGCCATAAGCTAAGTTGAATCATTTTAATACTTAGGATTCTCACTAGTTTTGTCTTCATTTTGTGTCGGTTTTGCTTCTCTTGGCTTTTCTCTTGTATTCGAGGAAAGGGCTATCTCTTACAACTGCACGTGACTACACGCTTCAGGTTCTTCCTCACTTGACTCAACCACGAAGGATTCTGGTGCTTTAGGAATTGGTAGCCCCTCTCCATGAGGAACTGGACGTATTGCCGATGGAATATTTGGATAGTGCACAGATAACTTTTTCTTCTTATTTAGCCCTTTTACAATTGGAGGCACCATACAAAAGTAACAATTACTAACATGATCTGTTGGCTCTCTCCAAATCATTGGCACAGCGAAAGGCATAGATGCCTTTTTTCCATTCAACCATTGCTCCAGTGCCGTCCCACAAGAATTGCAGCATATATGTGGTGCCCAGCTCTTGTCCTGGTTTCCTATCTTGCAGCCAAAATACTAGTTGTAGGCTTTCTTAATCATTCCTGTTATCCTCCTTTTTTGTGAGATAAAAGTTATTTCACCGCAGATATAGCAGAAATTATCTGCTTTATTCACACAAGTTCGAGGCATTACTGAGTAGCCTATATAAGCATAAAACGAAATGTAAAGACGTTGTCGAACTACAAACAGCTACAGATACTGCAGCTTTTATGCAGTGAAGTGATGCAATTAAAGGCTAATATTGCATCATCTCAGTATACATGCAATTTTCTATTGGTCACCAGTATCAATTGCGCAATATGCAGCTGAAGTTGCATCATAATTTTGAATGGCTTACGTCATTAGATGGGTGAATATATCATGGAAACTAGAGCCAATCAACATTTTTAAGGGTCATTTTCGTTTTCAGCACCCCAAAATTATGTAAGATTAGCTAATTTTATGCCCAAAACTTTTTACCTGTTGAACACAGTGTTATCAGACATTAACAGTTCAGAAAGAACACTGCTCTGCTTAGACATTCCACCCAAAAAAATGAAGTACATGTAGAAAAAGCATTACATGGAACCTTCATTTTTTATATTATCAAGAGGTTCATACATTTATTAGATAAACGTAAAACCATTTTCAATGCGTAAAGGAACAAAATATGATAGAATGGCAATCAGCTGTGCTTCAGTGCGTATTCTTAAAAAGGATCTTCAATCAGAAAAAAAAAAAAAGTTACAAAGTCAACAGCTACAAATACTGTAGCTCAGGGATGCTCAACCTGTGGCCAGCAGGTCCACATGTGGCCCTCTGATGTGGCCCTCAGCCTCAAACTGAATGCAGGAGGTTTTGTGCTCTTTCAGAAAGTACACCACACCTGCAAGATATAATAGAAGTCTATGGCAAAGTGCAGCTAACCCACAGGAAAGCTGTAGTACACTGCGCGGCACTCTCAGTGCTGGTAAACCTCAGTAGATCAGTGTAAAAGCAGCCTCATAGGAGGTTCGGTACAGTAAGGGCTTTTTTTACATTTGTAGTTTGGGGGCGATAAAACCCCATAGTTGAGACGTGTTTTTACCACACACCTCCAACCACTGATGCAGCATTGTTGCTGCAGGGGGCCTCCAAGTCACATTCTGTTTTACTCTTGGACAGGAGGCGGCGAGAGAGGCAGATAATGGGGAACAGATTCTCTCCATTCCACCAGCATTCAGCGGCTTCAGGAGGAAAATGTTCATTATCCCATTTTAAAATAAAAAATTAGAAATTGTAAACCATTTTGTTTCATTTTGGTTCGCAAACGGTTACCACATCACAAAGTGTTACTAAACCCAGGACCCTGCATTCACTATATCAGGTCTCCCACAGTACACACAACATGGAAATGCAATTATGTTAGTAACTATAAATTGCTAAATACCTTTTCTCTTCAGCAGTTAAAGCAGTCTTGTGACTTCTATCAGTGTTCAGCAAAGCACTAGCTAAAGCTTGTAGGAGTTTTCTTTCTGCTCTAGGAGGATGTAAAACCCTTGACCTGTCTGGACAGTGCCGATTGGCCCTGTGCTGATCACATGCACTCTCCCAGAGAAAAAAAAAAAAAACCCTACACACTCTAGCAATACACACAAAACTGAGCATGTGCAGTGTGTGTCTCCACAGTATATGTCTTATCAGGAGCTAAAAACGGGACACGGGAAGAAGGGGAGGATTAGAGAAGTCAGGATCAAACAGCCTTTTTACACAATGCAGAGGATTAACCCCTTAGGTTCCACAGTGAGTATAACAAGCATACTTTGCTGCATATACAGACGGATGTGGGTTTAGTAGTTTACTTTAAGTGTCAGTGCTCTTCAAAAGGCTGAGCACACTGGCTGTAGCTGCTGACTTTTAATAAAAGAACACTTACCCGTCTTGGAATCCAGTGCCATCCTCACCAGGGCTGGTTCTTCGCTAGTCTTTGTGTCCCTGGTGCCGGCATGCTTACTGGGGGAATGTGGCTGTGACTCCTTGCAATTACACAGCTGGCCTCCCACTTTGTGCGCTTTGTGAATAGACCCGCAGCCTCCTGGGACTTTGAAGTGTCCTAAGAGGTTGTGGGCAGGGACTAGGCAATTCCAGCAGAAGTGAGAGTGGGTAAATGCTATTTAGGGTAAAGTTCCACTTTAAATATTTTAATATTGCCATCAACAGAATAAGCAAAAAAAGCCTAATTGCCTTTATACCTCACTGTCCAGGAAATCAGAGAACATCTTTAATATGGAATTCAAAGCAGAGGTCTCAGGTGTTACTACTTCATCAGTTTTATCTGCAAGGTGAGACTGTTCAGATTCAAGGGCTCCATCGGTTTCATCTTCCGGTTTATTTTCGGGGTTATCACTAGCATCTTCCTTTGGCTTTAGAATTTCAAGTCCAAAAAGCAGAAGAAGATCAAACACTGCGTTCAAGGCACTGGTCCTCACCTTGACCTCGTCCAGCTGTGATATCTAAAAAGCACAAAAAAAGTCCAGAAGTACAAGTATAGATTTTATATTACTTTTTAACTTAAGCAAAAAAATCCATAGCGTGAAACAATGCATTGCCACCTCTACAAAATTCAAAACATTAAAACTGACAAAAGCCTACATTGTAAATAGCAATAACTCCTAGCAACAATTTTCACTCCTGACTGCCTTGGTAGCCTCTAAAGATCCCTCACATTAACCTGCGGAAAGCAAGCCAATGTGTTCCAGAATTCTAGCATGGTCCATTCTCCGAGCTCCTTGCAGCCTTGCCCTCACAAAGCACAGAATAAAGACTGCATAAGAGACACCTTCAGACAGTGGCTGCATAGAATTAAAACAAAAATGGAAACAAAGGGTAACTTATGTGTGCTCTGACCATTTATCTAGTGCACATGAGTCAAGCACAAGGCCCTTTGGCCAAAACTGGCCCAGCAGGCCATTTCATGTGGCCCTCACATCTCTCCTACAGCTATGGCTACCTCCTGGTCTCTGCCCACACCTTGTCTCAGCAGTCGGGAACAGAAAGAACAGACCTCCTCTGCCAGATCTTGTACCTTTCCATGTAGCCGCAGAGAGACTTGTCTCTGGCCCCCTCCCCATCTCAGCAGTCCGCAGCAGAGAAAAGGACAGAACTCCTACAGATCATGCACCCGCAGCACCCCTTGTCTCCACCTACCCTGGGCTCAAAATACAGCAGACTCCAGCCCCTCCTCTGGTCCTCCTCCAGCCCCTGCACTTTCTGCTTCCCAGCTACTACCCCAGCTTCTTCCAAGTAGAAGCACAAGGTAAGGGGGAGTGTACTGTGAAGGAAAAGTGGGGGGCTCCTGACATCTGATATAAGGGGGGGTGCTCTAGAAATCTGCTTTCAGATACTACCGGCCCTTTGAGGGCAACCATAATGCTGATGTGGCCAAAAATTAAATGTAGTTTGACACCCCTGGTCTAGTGGATAGCATTAGCAGTTTACTAGCTGAATGCCAAAAATAGTCTGACCTTGACTTTTGACCCCGACCTTTGACCCTTAACTTGACCATTACACCAACCCTGGCACTGACCAAGATCAAGCCCTGATCTAACAATTTTTTACAATGCATATTTCTCTCCATTCAGAAGAGGAAGAGAACATGGGAGTGGGCTGCACAGTAACTGATCACTGACAGCTAATCAGAGGCCATCACAGCAATCAGGTGACCAGGAACTGGGAGTCCTGGGTTCCGATCGTTAGTATGAGACCCGTAGATCTTGGTGGGAACCCAGCTCTGTGTTGAGAGTGCGCTGTGCAGCATGCTTCCAGCACAAAGAGGTGTACATATATGCAGCCTCACAGATAAAGACCCACTTTTGTGAGGCCCTATTTCTGCATACTGTTATTGGAAAGGTGTTAATCTTCAAATATTCTAATGTTTCTATTTCGTGAAAATCAAGAAAACACAGCTGTATGGTACAGGAAAAAAAAAATCTTCATGAGGGCTTCATGCTTTCTTACCTGCAGGAGCAGAGTCATGTGTTGTTTTGCAAAGTCTTTGCTCTGCAAGGCACAGCAGCCAATGCACAAGACTGCCATGTTCCTGACAGAAGGATGAACATTGGTTATTCCTGGAAGTATCTGCATGGGGCCAGAAAATGAATATTTGGTTACAGAGCAAATGGTTTTCAAAAAAAAAACCCAAAACAAATCCAAAAAAAAGAGCAATTATTTTGCTGTTTAATGGAAGATTTTCTATTTCAAACAATAATTGCCATTTTTTTTTGCTACATAGCAGAAACATAAAAAGCGTCTCATTACAGTGCCTGAACTCCATGCCAGCAAAGCCACAGAGGAAAACAAACAATGTTAAAAAATCCTGCTGTAGAAAATAGTCATTTCAATTTATGTACCTTCCTATAACATCTAAAAACATGCTTCTCTCTGGATACCTAGACTGATGTAGGTCTCCTTTTTACACCCAATTATCACTGTAAATCTGATGCAATTCGGTCAGTGTTAGATTTGAAGTCACACCTCTATCAGGAGTACAGGACCAAACACTCCTGAATTACATTGAAGTGACTGCCTGATTTATCGTATTTCCCGAGAGTCACTTTGCCTCTCCTAGGCACTTACCAGTGATTGAATTATCTCATTCAACGTTCCTCCAAGTCCTTTAGAAAGGGAAATGTGCTTTAGGAGTTCGTTACACATAATCAAGCACTTTAGAAGTGTTTCAGGGTCATTCTGGAAAGAGAGGCGTAAACAGTACAGATAAAAAAAATGAAAAAAAAAAAGAAGCATGGAGAGATAAAGAATAGTTAAGTTTCAAAAAACCAGGCCAAACCTTTTCAACACGGATTTCTTTGAGTTCTGGTTCTTCTGCTTCTTTAATCAGCTGTGCTTTCACCGTTTCCAACTCTGAGACCTTTTCCTTTAATTTCAGAAGCTTTACCAAAATCTTGAGCATTTATAGAATCCTCCAGAGCTTGCTTTGCTTCCATAAGCTGCACTTTTATATTAGCAATCTGTAATTAGACTACATTATTACTTTACCATAGTCTCCATAATTATCCTCTACATTAATGCAGTGCACATATTTTAGGTATTCTTGTATTAAGCAAGGCAAGCAACAATTAAAACAGTAAATCAGATCTTAATTCAGACTTTATGCCTGAGAGAGTGAACCCAGTTCTTTCTGTTCCCAAAATCCACCTGTTTATTACTTACTGTTTAAAGGATAGCAGAATCTAGGTCCACGTTAGATAAAACACCACCACCAGGATGCACTACTTCTATATCAAAATAGGATTTTTGACATTCCAGTAACATCTGCTTTCTTAAGAGCACAGTACAGGACACAGGATCCTGAAGTCTAACTATTGGTTATATGGACTTATTTTCTGTCAAAAAAGTACAGTTAGAAGTGAGGGATACACCAAGAAAACCTGTTACCGAAGTGCAGTCAAAAAGGAAAGAAAGAGAAAAAAAGCAGGAAAGAACAATGCTGGCTCAACTGTTTTTAGTCAGGAGGCCAGGGGTGCCAGTGAGGGGCCCAGGAAAAGGAGGATCAAGACTACTCTGTGCAAAACCACTGCACCAAACAGGTAAGTATAATACAATTGTTATTTTAATTTAAAAAAAAAAAAAAAAAAAAAAAAAAAAAACAGTTTTAATGTCGCTTTACAGAAAAAAAAAAAAAAAAAAAAAAAAAAAAAAAAAAGACAGGATTGTAATATATTATGCATCACAGAATTGTTTGTCATGGTCGTTATACTGGCCATACATGAACAAAGCTTTCTTTTGAAAATTTGTTTTAAGAACGTTTATTCAATTTTCTAATCGTTAGTGGGGTTAAATCATCATTCGTTTTCAACCACAGTGAGAAGAAAATTGGAAGGCGCAGAATAGAAAACCTTTGGACAGTGCATGTGGTTTTCATTAAACAATTACATTCATTTTAAAATAAAATGTTGTTAAAAGCAAGTGAAATTTTCAAACAACATCCATTCATCGAATGTACAGAGAATTTTCTTATGAATATTCTCATCCAAAAATTGGTATGTGTATGGCCAGCATAAAGCTGGGTACAGACCATAAGAAAATCGGGCAAACAATCGTCTTGTCGAACAACAAATTTTTTATTTTTTTTTATGTAGAAACATTGTAGCATAGATTGTAGATTGTTATTTATCGTTTCTGACCATGCACAGCCTTTCAAATCAGTTTTGTTTTTTTTTTTGTTTTGGTTTTTTTTAAAGGAAAATAGTACACATTAAAACAAAAATTGTTAGTTCTGTTCATGTACAGAACAATTTTGGAGTTTGCCCCTTCAGAAATTTTCATTTGGTAATTCTAAATTGGCTGTCGACCGTTATGTACAGTACATACTATTATGAAAATCAAACGACTGTTATTGGTACGGAAAATCTCAGTGTGTACCCCAGTAAAGAAATTTAGTAGCAGTAGCAGTAGCATTTTTTTTTTTTTTTAAAATCACCTGTCTTGATGGGGTTAAATGAGAACAAATTAGCCCTTTTAGCACAAAAAAAGCAGATAATCATTATTAAAAGGGGTTAATTTATACTGTGGAAAAGATATATATATCTATATCACACTCTCTTTCAATAATATATATATTTATTTTACATACACTATATTGCCAAAAGTATTGGGCCACCCCTCGAAATCATTGGATTTAGGTATTCCAATCACCTCCATGGCCACAGGTGTATAAAATCAAGCCCCTAGGCATGCAGACTGCTTCTACAAACATTTGTGAAAGAATGGGTCACTCTCAGGAGCTCAGTGAATTCAGCTTGGTACCGTGATAGGTTGCCACCTGTGCAATAAGTCCATCCATGAAATTTCCTTGCTACTATATATTCCAAGGCTGTTAGTGGTATTATAACAAAGTGGAAGCAACTGGGAACAACAGCAACGCAAACACGAAGTGGTAGGCCACGTAAAATGGCAGAACGGGGTCAGCACATGCTGAGGCACACAGTACGCAGAAGTCACCAACTGTCTGCAGAGTCAATAGCTAAAGACTTCCAAACTTCGTGTGACCTTCAGATTAGCACAACTGCGCAAAGAGAACCTTAAGGAATGTATTTCCATGGCCGAGCAGCTGCATCAAAGCCTTACATCACCAAGTACAATGCAAAGCATCAGATGCAGTGGTGTAAAGCATGCCACCCCTAGACTCTAGCGTAGTGGAGATGTGTTCTCTGGAGTGCCGAATCAGCCTTCTCTGTCTGGCAATCCGATGGACATGTCTGGGTTTGGCGGCTGCCAGAACGGTACATGTCTGACTGCATTGTGCCAAGTGTAAAGCTTGGTGGAGGGGGGATTATGGTGTGCGGAACTCTTAAGGCATCAGCCTCTCTCTCGCTCTCGGGTATTTTAACTGGGAGTCAGACATAAAGCTATGTGAAGGGTGGAGGGGAAATATAAATCTTTTATATTATAGCAGTACTAGAGGCTGGAACTATTGTTGCATGGATATAATCACTTTCAATATAATGCACAATACTGGCAAACTCTTACTTTAAATGCAATTGTAATGCCTTATATTACACCCTCCAGTCTATCAGCTTCTCTGTGTTCAGATGCTGAACTTCCCTGTACAGAGCCTTTAGGCTATGTGTACACTACCCTACCCTGAATGCGGGAAAACGCAACACACGGCAAAAACACGTGTAAACGCAGTACCATGTTTTTCATTGCTCGCAGCCAGCGGTAAAAACATTTCTATCCTGAACACGATTCTTGCGCAGCAGCTCTTAAATTGTGCTAAAAGCCTACAAGTGGAGTTTAGGAGCTTTTGCAGGGGGGAAAAAAAAAAAAAAAAACACCAAAAGCTCAAAATCAAAACTTTAGGAGCTGCCAGTGACAACCGCGCTAGAGCCTAATTACAGCTACAGTGCAGCCATCCATTTCTGGGAGGGCATCTAACAGAAATGAAGAAAATTGTCTTTTTTTTTTTTATTTAGCAAAAAAGAAAAAAATAAATAAATAATTCCAGTGGTGATTAAATAGCACAAAATAAAGCACTATCTGTCCCCAAAAAATGCTAAAAACGTCATATGGGTACAGTGTTGCATGACTGCGCAATTGTCATTCAAAGCGAGAGTGCTGAAAGCAGAAAATTGGCCTGGGCAGGAAGGGGTAAAAGTGCCCTGTAGGCAAGTAGTTAAAGTGATGGTTAACGTTGGGAGTTTTATTTAGGTTTTTTTTTTTTTTTTTTTTTTTAAACAAACTTATATACTTATTTGCGCTGTGCAATGGTTTTGCACAGAGCAGCCCTTATTCTTGTCTGCTGGGGTCTCCTGAGGGCGCTTCTGGCCCCCCCTGCCTTTAGAGTGCCCATAGCTGCAAAACTACAGTGTAGAGAGCCTCTATAGCAAGGTAAAAACTTTTGCCTTTACCACTTGTCCAAGGGACTAAATTGGGATCCCCATCTATTTGTCTCTCATGACACTTGTCCTGATAAAAAAAAAAAAAATATTTGAACCAAAACCATATTTCAATGAGGTTTTAACATTGCGCTGTTTATCTGCTACTCACCTCCCTGCCTCTCTCCAACACCACACCCATGGACTAGCGGGGAGGGGAGAAACCTTGCAGTTGCTGAAATTCTGCCTGCAATCTCAAAGTGCACAAATCACAAAATGCAGGTTCAGGTGCCATTATTTTCAATTGCACCTAAAACACAGTGTGGTTTTGCTGCAATTGTCATGGACAAATCGCACTGTGTCAAGCTTGTCGCCCAAAAGGAGCTTCACGCGATATATCGCAGCATAACCACACTTTAGCTAGCTAGTGTTTTAGCTGCTATTGAAAATAATGGCACATGAATCTGCATTTTGCGATTGTAGTGCGTTTTGAGATCAATACCTTCGCAATCCCAAAATGCCCAGGTGTGAATGGAGCCTGAGTCCCAGTTCACACCGGTGCAACTTGTCATGCGCCTTGACAGATGAGTCGCATGACAAGTTGCATCCTATTTGCGACTATGGAACCTATTTTTTGCAATTTCATGTGTGATTTGCATTGACCTCTGTGCATGAAGTTGCACAGATGTCGGCAAGCTGCGCATGAAGTCGCACTGATCGGTTGTCAAAGCCGCATTTTGTGTGAACCAGTGTGGCTCATCATGCGACTTGAGAGTTCAAAGCGGTATGACAAGTCCCAACACATTAGCGGCTATGGAACTGTTCAAATCGGTGTGACTCAAGTCACGAGTTTGAAAAATGTTCCTGCACTATTTTTGTGCGACTTCATTGCAACCTGCATTGACATCTGTTAAATAAAGTTGCACAGTGTCGGCATGCCACAATGAAGTCGCACTGAACAGTCAGCTTTGAAGTAGCACGATTTCAAAGCGGCACTGGTGTAGTCAGTTTACACTGATGCGACAACGCATTCCAAACTTGCACAGCATAGAGTATAGTGGCATTCTAAGATAACTCTTCACATCAGATGCAAATCATAGTCAGAACTGTGGGATTTTACCACCCAATTGCAAGTGCAAACAAGCTTGTTAGAATTGTAGAAAAGGCAAACAGACATGGCCTTCAGTCAGAGCAATTTGCAGTGCATGCATCTTGCCAGTCTACAAAGGGCATGCACCAAATTATTAGAAATCCAGAGGCAGAGGGGGTAGGTCAAATGACATGAATAAAAACTGAGATTAGCATACGTTGTCTGGCTGAGGGGGCTTCCAAAGTCCCTGATCAAAGCAGGGATTATGGTGACAGGCTGGTAAGAAAACATTTATAAGCATTTGGGAGGAACGATAGACCTTTAAAAAAAAAAAAAAAAAGCACAAGTGGGGAAGCACTGTCCTCATGAAATCATCAAGAATCATACCTTCACTTGTAGTTTCCTGGACTCTGCAACATCTGGTGGATTGTCGACCGTGACAATTGGCTCTCGGAGCTCAGAAATCATTTCTGCTACCTAACAGCAAAGATTGAAGTAGTGGTGAATAATGGGTAGAAAACAGTGTGGAAAATTAAATAAAATAAATAAATGTGGACACAATTTATTGATACCCTTACAGCCCATTGGAACAATGCTTCATTCCTCCTGAAAGTGATGACATTAAAAACAATTGTCTCAGGTACACCTGCATGTCTTTGGTATGTTGTAGAATAAAGCAAAGAAAGTGAACAGAGATAAATCGTTGAGTGTTCTACAATGATAAAAGTATTCTGAAATGGTCTGGACTGTCACCCCTAGAAGAGATTAAAAATAAATAGATCACAGTGATCTTTCAAAATGTTTTGTTTTTATTTTAAAAAAATGAATTATAACATACATTCAGTCTTGAAAACAGAAAAAAAGTAGTTACTTCTACTGTTTGGTATCATCATGTGCACTGCACTGAATGTGGACCAGAGAAAGCAAAGTAGAGAGTTGTCTTAGAAAGAAACATTTTACAAAAGCATACCAAAAAGGTAACAGCTACCAGATTATCCTCCAAGCAGTTTGATACTCTTGTGATTACAGTTGCAAATATTAAGTCCAAGGGAGCGTAGCCAACTGGAAATGGCCACAAGAGCAAAAACTGAATCCAGATGGAACAAAAGGATAGTGCAAACGGTAGACAGATTCAAGGAAACCTTTCAAAGAGATACAAGCTGAACCCCAAGGTTAAAGGTTTAACTCGCTGGCTGCCCCAGTCGAGGATGGGGCATGTCGCCGTTGACCCAGCACTTAGCTAAAGGACTGCGTACGTCCACTGGCCAGACTGGGGTGACCACTGGATCTAGATTACCCAGCCCGTCGTCCAGCACAACTGTTGTTTGCAGATCGCTTCAGAAAAAAAAATCCCAGTAAAAAGTGTGTGTGTGTGGGGGGGGGAATCAGGGAGCCAGACCCTTACTCCTAAACACTAGACAGAAAAAACAAAATAGTCTATAGCCAAGTGGGGGGTTAAATGCCGGAAGGGACGGTCCCATAGGCGGTGCAAAGTTTTCTGCCTAGTGTCCTACTCCTGCAGGTGGCAACATAACCCTATTGTCAAAATTAAGAACAGCTGTGTCTGTCAAAGAACACTGTACCTTCTGTGAAACATAAAGGAGGCTCGGTCATGTTTTTGGCCTGCTTTGCTGTGTCTGACATGGGGTACAATGAAAACTCAAGACCATCAAGGAATTCTTAAACTAAATAGTGTGAGAAAGCGTTCTCTCAGTCACAGGTCGAGTCCTCCAACAGGATAAGGAACCAAAACACACAGATAAAAGCACCTAAGAGATGCAAAAAAACAAACATTGTGAAATTATCTATGAGCCGTCACCTGAATCCTATCAAACAACAGTGGAAAGACCTGATCTACGTAGCGCAAAGAAGACACTCTTCAAAACAGAAAACAGCTGAATCAGTTTTGCTCAAGAATTGTTGGCCAAACTACCTGTTAGCAGGTGCAGATGTCTAATTAAGAGCCACAAAAAAATCAATTGAGTACAGTGCCCCTCAAGGCTGTGCACAATAGTATTAGGTTATGGGAACCATCATTTTGGTCAATGCCATTTTCATGAACAAAAATCAAAGGTTTATTTTTACTAAACATGTTATAAAATATTAAACAATGACAGATGCCAATTACTTTCAGTTTCAAGTTATTTCAGAGAAAATTGCTGGCTCCTTTTTCATGTAAGGATATTAATAAATTGATCTATGGCTGTAAATATTCTGCGACTTACAGTTACAATTCTACGGTCGTCATCCTTTATAACACGGAGTAGTATCTCCACCAGAGGAGATATAAATGATGTTGGAACATTGGGCATGATAAGTATCTCTTGTAATACAGCAAGAAGACGTTTTCTGAAAAGTAAAACATGCCATTGTTCAAGGCAAAGTTGTCATAAAACTATTATAACAATACCTTCATTTAATTCCTTTGTTATGCACGTTTTGTCTTTATTGCAGATTTTTGCATAGTTACACAATAGAAAAAAGAACTTTAACTCAATTGAAAAGCAGAATTTTTTTTTTCCTTTTTACAACAAGTAGCTGTTGAAATTGCTAAATACAATCAACCTTTTACCTTTCAGTTGAGGGAAGACAATTAAGCCTAGCATTTGACATTCTTGAAAAAGTCTGTGACCCCGATCCATATCATCCTTCCCACTGACAGAATAGAGTTCACAAGAAAACTTGGAAAGCCTACCTCCCCCCCCAGCATATCGTTTACCATACTTGGCTTTGCAGAGGAGGATAAGAGGACAAACAAAAGGTATTTTGCCAGCGATTCTTGGCTGTGTGAAGCATATTCACAGAAATAGCCAGTTGATATGCAATCATAATGGGCCAGGTTAACCAGCCATTTTTTGTACAAACCTTATGCAGTGTGAGGTTCTTCTTTAATAGGCATCTTCTAACCTTTTTTTTCTCTAGACCAATGGTGGTCAACTTTTTTGATACAAAAGATGGTCAAAGACTGCAGATTTGTTAAAGACTGTGGACATGCTTCAGGAGACAGTCTTAGACTGAACACATTACAGGCTGCTTGAAATTACTTCTATAACAGGGCAGCAGGGAAGGAAACAGATTAGCAGTGGTCTTGAGGGCTGCACAAAAAGAGCCAAAAGGGTGTGGGTTGGGCACCAGGGCTCTAGTAAGTTGTAACCAACACTTGTAAAGGAACCTACTGTTTACGAAAAGAAAAATGGGGGTTGCCACTAACCAACCTCATTTTGAAAATGCTTTCCACTGACAGTCTCTGGCTGCAATGTTTTCTGAGCCTGGCCTGCAACAAGCAGTGAAGTCTGAATATCTGATCTACTTATTTTTCCAAGTTAGATGCAGAACACATTGAAGTCAGTGGATTTAGCATGGAAAGTCAGAATTTTAAGTACGAGAAACTAGTAATATTTGCTAGTGTAAAGTGCAATGACCCCCAAAAAAGTGGCCGCAAACACCTAACTATATTCCAAAATAGTGAAAACAAATGAAAAAAATGAAAGAGTGCTGCGCTACCTAGTGCATGAACAATAAACCATGAAAACAAAAACTGAATATAAATGAATACATGTACTGTATATATTCATGTATTCATTTATATTCAATTTTTGTTTTCATGGTTTATTGTTCATGCACCAAGTAGCACAGCACCCTCTCACTTTTCATTAGTAATATTTGCTCCCTTCAATGTCAGGCTGAACAAACAAAAAAAAACACATCTGATACAGCCTTTTTGGGATTCAAGTTTGTCTTTTGAACATATGCAAGTGGAGGAGGCTGTGAAACTGAATACGCAGCTTAGCACGGTTTGCATACAGTGTCCAAATACTTACCTCATGCAATTTAAAGTGTACCTAAATGGCACCACAACAAACCCACCCAGCGCATTGGATTACCGCACAACATGCAGTAATACACTTCTATCCAATATTGTGCTTAACCAGAACTTGGCAAATTAATCAAATTAAAAAAATGTGAAAGTAAAAAAAAATCCTGACTGTAGCACTCCTGATATATTCACACATACACTGCTCAAAAATTTAAATGGAACACTTTGAAAACACATCAGATCTCGATGGGGGGAAAAAAACCATGCTGATATAGACTGGGTAATTTGTTAAGAACATAAGGCTGTCCCATCGTTTGATGGAAATTAAAATCAACCTACAGAGGACTGAATACAAAGACACCTTGAAAATCAGTGAAAAAATGATGCAGCAGGCTATACCATTTTGCTGAAATTTCACTGCAGCAACTCAAAAACATGGTACTCAGATTGTATGGCCCCAAAGTGCTTGTATGCATGCCTGACAACATGCATGCTTCAGGACAGTCTGAGGTGCAACCTCACGGTGTCGGATGGACTGAAACATGATATCTCAGAGGTATTCTATTGGATTCAGGTCAAGCGAGCATGGGGGCCATTCAATGGTATGAATTCTTTCATCCTCCAGGAACTGCCTGCATACTCTCGATACATGAGGCCGGACATTGTCGTGCACCAAGAGGAACACAGGGCCCACTGCACCAGCATAGGGTCTGGTAATGGCTCCAAGGATTTCATCCCGATACCTAGTGGCAGTCAGGGTGCCATTGTCTAGCCTGTCGAGGTCTGTGCGTCCCTTCATGGATATGCCTCCCCAGACCATCACTGACCCACCAGAAAACTCATCAGACCATAATACATTTTCCCACATGCTTTTGGGAGACTTCAGATGTGTTTTTGCAAAATTTAGCTGGGTTCGGATGTTTTTCTTCATAAGAAAAGGCTTCTGTCTTGCCACTCTACCCCACAGCCCAGACATATGAAGAATACGGGAGATTGTTGTCACATGTACCAAACAGCTAGTACTTGCCAGATATTCCTGCAGCTCCTTTAATGTTACTGTAGGCCTCTTGACCGCCTCCCAGACCAGTTTTCCTCTCATCTTTTCATCAATTTAGGAGGGACGTCCAGTTCTTGGGAAATGTCACTGTTGCACCATATTTTCTCCACTTGATGATGACTGTCTTCACTTTGTTCCATGGTATATCTAATGCCTTGGAAATTCTTTTGTACTCTTCTCCTGGCTGATACCTTTTAACAATGAGAACCCTCTGATGCTTTGAAAGCTCTCTGCGGACCATGGCTTTTGCAGTAGGATGAGACTAAGAAAATGTCAGGAAAGACCTACTAGAACAGCTGAATTTTATTTGGGATTAATCAGAGGCCCTTTAAATGATGGCAGGTGTCTACTGACTATTTAATTTATTTATTTCAGGTACTTATATAGCGCTGTCAATTTACAAAGCGCTTTACACATATATATTGAACATTCACATCAGTCCCTAACCCTCAAGGGGTGAACAATCTAAGGTCCCTAACTCACATTCATACATACACATATTAGGGCCAATTTAGACAGGATGCAATTCACCTACCAGCATGTCTTTGGAGTGTGGGAGGAAACCGGAGCAAACCCACGCAAGCACAGGGAGAACATGCAAACTCCATGCAGGAGGCGCCATGTTCGGGAATCGAACCCATGACCCATTTACTGCAAGGCAAACATGCTAACCACTAAACAGTTTATATGTCACGTTAAAAAGGTGGGAAAAGTTCTGAAATGATTTATCTTTGTCTCGTTTTTTTACAGCACAGAAACCTGACATTTTAACAGGGGTGTGTAGAATTATATCCACTGTACGTCTGTCACTTGTGCTCAGGGTGAACCTACTCTCATCTGAAAAGGACAGGGTGCCAGTGGCAGACATTGGGCCCTCAGGCCACCTTCATAAAGCCTGTTCCTGATTGTTTGGTCAGAGACATTCACACCAATGGCTGACTGGATGTCATTTTGTAGGGCTCTGGCAGTGCTCAGGCTGTCTGCAAAAGAGCAGATACCGGTCCTGCTGATGGGTTAAGGACCTTCTTCGGCCCAGTCCAGCTCTCCTAGAGTAACTGTTCTCCTGGAATCTCCTCCATGCTTCTGAGACTATGCTGGGAAACACAGCAAACGTTCTGGAAATGGCACATATTGATGTGCCATCCTGGAGGAGTTGGACTGCCTGTGCAACCTCTGTAGGGTCCAGGTATCGCCTCATGCTACCAGTAGTGACACTGACCCTAGCCAAATGCAAACCTAGTGAAAAAGTCAGAAAAGATGAGTAGGGAAAAATGTCAGTGTCCTCCACCCGTAAAACCATTCCTGTTTTGGGGGTCGTCTCACTGTTGCCCACCTGTTACTTTTATTAACACCAAAGCAGCTGAAACTGATTAACAACCCCTCTGCTATACTCTGATTAAAAAGTGTTCCTTTAATTTTTTTGAGCAGTGTATATATTGAAAGACAACTTAAAAAAAAAAAAAAAAAAAAAAAAGTTTTGCGCTGCCAGGAAAACTTCTAATTCAATATATAGTGTATAACAAACAAATCACAAATAAAGTGCTGTAAAACAAAATATTAGAGTCCACCAAAAGTGTGCAAAATCTTCAGGTGCAACTGTGCACCAACCACCAAGTGATTATAATGCTGCTTACCAAATCCTTAGACCCCACAACATAAGAGGTCTAAATTAGCATTTAAAAGATGACAAATCCCACATGGATGGATGGCTCCAGCTCTATTCCTCTCACACCTCAGCAAGTCTCACTCTCTTATGAATGGCATTGCCATCCTAGCGATACCATATATGTGTATGTTATTTGTTGTTTGTACCCGTAGTACAGCCCAGAAACAATAGTGTGCATTTTGTTTTGTTTTACCTAAAAACACATTGACACTGATACCAATAAAAAAAAAATCCTGACCTTTGACTAGAACTAGATCAAACCTTGACCTAGGTATTTTTTCTTTAATGTTTAATATTTATCTTTTTATTTTTTTTAACAAAATTTTTTTCCCCTCTATGCCAGGAGTTCGAGAGATACAATGTTCTCTCTCTCCTCCATTCATAGAGAGGAAAAAAAACAAAAAAAAAACAAGGGGGACGGGGTTATACAGGTGACTGATCACTGTGAAAGCCAATCAGAGGCTATCACAGCTATCATGTGACCCGGAACCAGGAGTCCCTGATCTCGATCGTTAGAACGGGACCTGGGGCTCTCAGTGACACCCCGGTCTTTGTGCTGGAAGCGCGCTGTGCGGCGCACTCCCAGCACAAAAGACAGGTACACAAATATGCAGCCCCACAGAAAAAAGCCCAGTTCTGTGAGGATGCATATTTATGTGGCGTCGGTGTTAAGGGGTTAATTTGTAAATAACACACACCTATTCCTGAGTATTTATGCTTCCAGTTCATCTCACAGGACGTGATGTTTATATGTTATGATAAAATGTTTTCAACCTGAAAAACTAAACTTATACTTAAATCTTAAAAGACTCATATAAAGAAGAACAAGGGAAGAGAAAGGGTGGGGGCAGGAGCACCTTAAGCATGCTATAGCTGTCTATGGTGGGGAAAGGCATTGTTCCAACTACATATTACAAGTCTTAAAGTCAGTCAAGCTCGAAGAGCAAAATTATATCCGCTAACCTACATGTTCACATCTCTACCTCAGAAACGAAGGAAAAATTGTTGACTGGTGCTATTTTATAGTTAGCGCAGTACTCCCTTCCTGTTCCAGACACCAGGAAGTATATGGCTTATTATGACAACTGTAGGCTTTATTTTATCAGTGGTAACAAGCTTTTTATCTAGTGAAAAAAAATGCAGATTTTATACACGTTTTTGTGGCTCCTGTGATATCAGATTATATAATTAGGATGCCAGAATAATCAAGAATATTTTCTGAGGTGTAGCACATTAGATACGATTAATGCTTCAGAGACTCTGGAGGTTTGTAAAAGGTAGCAGAGAAATATATGAGTATGTGGGAAGGTTTCTATAGTGAAGGTGAAGTGACATAACACCAAATAAGCTGTTTTGACCTACCTTCCTCCCTCTTCACTGGTATCCAGGCAGCCTATTATATGAATCAGCTGCTGTCCAATGAATGCTTTAGTCATCAGGTCTTCAATTTTAGTCATATCTGCTTTTTCTTCCTCCGTTAGCACAGGAAGTGTTTGAAGATAACTAAAGAAAAGAGTAAAGGATTTTAAGATCCTGCTCTTGCAATAAAACTCAGTATTGCCCTTCTATTCAACCTTAATAGTATTAAAATCTAATTTTTTTTTTTATTAAAATTTTAGCTCCATATTACAGTGCCTTGAAAAAGTATCCCTATCCCTTTGAAATGTTCTACATTTTCCATGTTACAACCAAAAAGGTAAATGTATTTTATTGGGATTTCATCTGATAGACCAACAGAAAGTGGCACATAACTGTGAAGTGGAAGGAAAATGATGAATGGTTTAACATTTTCTACAAAAATATCTGAAAAGTGTGCATTTGTATTTTTGTATTTAGCCATGACCCCCCCCCCCCTGGAGTCAATGCTTTGTAGAACCACCTTTCACTGCAATTACAGCTGCAAGTCTTTTTGGGCATGTCTACCAGCTTTCCACATCTAGAGTGTGAAATTTTTGCCCATTCTTTGCAAAATAGCTGTCAGATTGGATGGAGAGCATCTCTGAACAACAATTTTCAAGTCTTCCCACAGATTGTCAATTGGATTTAGGTCTGGACTTTGACTGGGTCATTCTAACACATGAATATGCTTTGATCTAAACCATTCCATTATAGCTCTGGCTGTATGTTTAGGGTCGTTGTCCTCCGCCGCAGTATCAAGTCTTTTGCAGACTCCAACAGGTTTTCTTCTAAGATTGCCCTGTATTTGGCTCCATCCATCTTCCCATCAACTCTAACCAGCATCCCTGTCCCTGCTGAATAAAAGCATCCCCACAACATGATGCTGCCACCACCATGTTTCATGGTTGGGATGGTGTGTTCAGGCTGATGTGCAGTGTTAGTTTCCTGCCACATATAGCATTTTGCTTTTAGGCCAAAATGTTCAATTTTGGTATCATCTGACAAGAGCACCTTCTTCCACATATATGGCTTTCTTTCAACAAAGGCTTTCTTCTTGCCACTCTTCCACAAAGGTCAGATTTGTGGAGTGCACAACTAATAGTTGTCCTGTGGACAGAATCTCCCACCTGAGCTGTGGATCTCTGCAGCTCCTCCAGAGTTACCATGGGCCTCTTGGGTGCTTCTCTGACCAATGCTCTCCTTCTCCGGCCTGTCAGCTTAGGTGGACGACCATGTCTTTTTAATAATTTACTTGAATGTCAAGCTAAAAAGGTCAACACAGCCAATGCCAGCATGTTGGAATGCACTGCAATGCAATACAAGGGTGTGAACAAAATCTTTTGAAAACAATTGATTTTCTGTTGACGTCTAAACTTGCTAAAAGTCAAAAAATGGGATAAACTGCTGACCTACTGGGGCTCCTGAATGTGGCCTCTTGGGATCCAAAAAAAACAAAAAAAAAAAAGTTTGAGGGGTCAGGAACATCTCCAACTACATGATTTTCCTTGCCAGGAGGGAAGTAAAACACATGGCGGAATTGATAGTCTCTACTAATCACGCTTCCGGGGAAAAAAAGAGAAAAAAGTTCGATTGGACCCAGTTTGCCTGTGCTCCTGAATATTGTGACATATTGCGCTCCGTACCTTGAATCCAGGAGCTGAATCCAGAAGCTGATCCGAAGAAACATCCTAAAGGTACTGGACAGTGAAATAATGTAGATGGGTTGACTTCTGGTCACATTTTCCCAACCCCTACCCATGTCCCATTTCCTGCAAAAATCCCCCCCCCCCCCCCCCCCCCCCTTTTTTTTTTCCCTCGCTTTCCTTTCCATCTCCCAAGGCCTACCAAGCAGAAGCTCACCCAATGAGTAATAGAGCTATGGAAGACTCATGAACTCAAATAATAAATATTTGAATACATTATAGTGTTGATCATTGATTGTACATAGAGCCCTCTTAGACTTAATTCAAATTCTACCAATTGATGGTAATTTTACCTTTTTGCTCTCCAGACTGATTTTTTCCTGTTTGTATTGAAAAATGCAAAAAAAAAAAAAATTAAGTGACTCATTTAGAGTCTTTGTGGCCAATGGCGGCAGAAGCTGCTAAGGCCACAGGTAAATTAAATCTAAAAATCCACAGGAGACAGCAAGAACACAATTGTGGCCTCTGTTGACAAGGGAGAGGGCCCAGCCACACTTGTTAGAGTGGAGGACTCAGAGGAACAATAGACTCTAAATATCAGAGGATAACATTCCAGGCTGCAGACATCACAATGTAAGCAGCCCTAAAAACAGTGTAATGCAAACTGGGGCACCCGGTACAGTGAGACTGTTTCCTCAAACTCCATGACTAGATTCAGATGTTCTAAGAAGCAAGGCCTTAGGTGCTCACAAACCCAAACAGCTGGTAGCAGGCGAGGGTTGAATGGCTAGAAAAGAACAAAGGCGCTTTAGGCAGGCAACAAAAAACAAGCTTGCAATCAATGTGGTTCTTTGCAAACAGAAGCAGCAGCAAGGAGATGCTTTCTAGTCACTGCATGGTAGAAGAGAGTGTGGCGTGCATGATCACAGTCCACCAAGCGGATGAACAGAAGCAGAGGACACAGCGCCGCCAAGTGTAAACTGTAGAACAATTTATTATTAAAAAGTTAGGCAACTCACATCTTCTAAAAAGTATACAGGCTCATAGGGATAAAGTGTAGAAAACGTCTATTGCCAGATGTTAGTAGGTGCTCTGGAAGGGATCAAAAGCTGATCAGCAGGAGGCGCTGCACACGGAAGGGCATGGATGGAGAAGCCCAGCTGAGTCCCTGGTATTTCCAGAGCTGATGGTGTTGGCGTATGACGTCATCAGGCTACGACGCGTTTCTGAGCATGCGCAGGGACAGCTGGGAACCGGCGTGCTCTTTCTTCAGGCATAGATCATACACAAGGGAAGGAGAGCCTTATATAGGACAATGAAGGAATGACAGACAGAGCTGGGGGCGTTGAGAGGGAGAAAGGAGCAGGGTGGCCGGTACAGGGAGAATCAGCGGAGAGATGAGAACATGTATATATGCATAAAACAGGGGAACAGATAAAAAACAGGGGAACATTTACACATGCATAAAATACGGGAAATCAGATAAACAAGAATGAGAAATAATGTATAAAATTAAAAATGGCAAATCATAATCAGGATAAGAAAATACGTAAGTATATATGTAACAAACCAGTGGACATGAGTATAATGAATAAATAAATATGCCTCAATGAGTATATAATGGACAAATAGAGTGTGAGTAATAAAAAGAGTAATAGGTTGCATATATATATACATATAAATTGGTTATGTTGGGAAAGCGGACCAATGGGTATGATGACTAGATGAGTATACATCAATGAAATATTAATGGACAGTTGGTGTGTAAATAAGTGGATGTATGGATAAATAGGAAATAGTGTGATAACTGAAGAGATATAAACAATTAAATAGATTACAATAGGGATGAACGTATAATTAATTGTTTACATCTCTTAATTTATCACACTATTTCCTATTTATCCATACGTGCACTTATTTACACACCACTTGTCCATTAGCTTCTTATAGCCAGTGGCCGTCCTGTAGAAGATAAATCACCTCTTCCTTGTCTCCTGGACCATTCTCCTGCCTTCACCATATTTGTAACCCACCATAAATGTCTAGAAGGAGCTGAAAGTATCACAGTCATTTTAAAGCTGCCTAATTGGTGCTTATTATGCTTGATGCTGCACGATGACATCACAGGTGTTTTCATTTAAACCTCTGTTCTTCAGAGTGTAGTATTTCATTGATGAATACTCATCTATTCATCATACATATTGGTCCCCTCTCCCAACATAACCTCCACTTAGGCTTTTATATGTACATATATGCAACCTATTACCCTTTTTATTATGCACACACTATTTGTCCATTATATACTCATTGAGGCATATCCATATATTCATTATACTCATTATGTCCTCTGGTTTGTTATATGTATACTTATGTATTCTCTTATCCTGATTTTGATTTGCCATTTTTAATTATATACATTATCTATTGCTCATCCTTGTTTATCTGATCCCCCGTATTTTATGCATTTATATATGTTCTCCTGTTTTATCTGGTCCCGTTTTTATGCATATATACATGTTCTCATCGCTCCGCTGACTCTCTGTGTACTGCCCCCCACCCTACTCCTTTCCCCCTCTCTCCACCCCCAGCCCTGTCTGTCATTCCTTCATTGTCCTATATAAAAAGGCTCTCCCTCCCCCCCTCCACCCCAGCCCCTCCATTTTGTATGATCTATGCCTGACAAACAAATTAGAGCGCCGATTCCTAGCTGTCCCTGCGCATGCTCAGAAACGAGTCGCATCCTGGTGATGTCAGACGGCAACACCATCAGCTCCGGACACACCAGGGACTCAGCCGGGCTTCTCCATCCATGCCCTTCCGTGTGCAGTGCCTCCTGCTGTTCGGCCGTTGATCCCTTCCAGAGCACCTACTAACATCTGGCGATAGATGTTTTCTACACTTTATCCCTATGAGCCTGTATACTTTTTAGAAGATGTGAGTTGCCCAACTTACTTTTTAATAATAAATTGTTCTACAGTTTACACTTAGAAGGTGCTGTGTCCTCTGCTTCTGTTTCTCTACTCTAGAGCATGCTTCACTGTACCACAGCCTGCCCTATTGTCAACTGGATTACCCTCTGCCTGATCTGGAACATGGTCCATCTTATAATAGTCTACATGGACTGCATGATCCATGCGCCTGCGTACTCTCCCTTTTTTTCACCAAGCGGATGAAGCCAGTGCGCAGTACTAGATCATTAACCACGACCACAGCAAACACTGGTGGGAACAGAAATAAAGGCACCCAGTAGCTAGGCTCTTCTATCAGACTGCACTCTGCAGAGAACACTCAGTAGCGCATTGCGGGCTCCTTAACCATGCTCTATAGAGTAAGCACTGTGGTGTCTGGTGTGTGCTCCATCTAGTGGCAAAATTGCAGTATATTTTCTGATTGAGGTATTTCAAAAAAGTATAGGTCATTAGATGGAGCTGATGATCAAAGGACGTTATCTTAGAGCAAATACAGGAAAATCCTGCAGCCTGGATGAACGCTTGTGACATTCATCCAACAAATGCATTATAAAACCGATCTTTAAGCATGTTTTCTGCATAAGACAGAAGTATATTCATGTTTCGGTTACTTCAACAGAAGGACATCATTACCGTAACAGATACTCCGCATACACAGCTGGCTCTGGTAAAATTTGCTCTAGTGCAGCCTCTCCTTCATCACCTTTGGATTTAATGTACTCACAAACAAAGTGCTTTCCAATACAAAACATTTTCTGGAGTCAAAGTATCCACTGGAACGAGTTTCCTAAAAGTATAAAAAAACACATTATCTGCATTCAAACTACCAGTATGCTGTTGCTATGCAACTTCATATCTCACTATATGTGAAACACTACATGGTCTTTCTGGCCTTGATGAACTGAAAGCAGGATGCAATCCCGGTGTTAAGTTACAAAATCAGAGTGGCGATAAGCGATGTTTACTGACCAACTTTTGAAAATGCTAGTTGCCTGGCTGTAATACTGATTCAATCCCTTCAATGATTAAAGAGTATTTAACCCAGAACAAGAAGTATATAAATGTGCTGACTTCACTTGCTGTATACACTAGTAATTGGATACTTGTTGTAGATCATATGATACAAACAGTGTACACCAAAAACGTAAATATCAGTTAAAAAAAAAAAAAAAAACCACGACAATGGGCACATGTAATGGAAATATTACATGCATTAAAGAATATGTAAACCCAACACTTCATTTTCCTGCTGAACCATGTACTGGTATGAAAAAGTATCCTGTTCTCGTTGTATTGTTTCCTTTGTGTGAAATCCCTGGTGTTCCTGACAGTTTCTTCTGCTTTCCTATTACAAACTGACCACATAAAGCAGGGGGGGGGGAAAAAAAAAAAACCATAGTCAGTTCTCTAGCTGCCTCCCCCCCCCCACAGCCATTGCCTGGGAAGATCAGTGTGCTGCTACTTCTCCTCCCTGAAATCTTCATGCAGCTGAGAACAAAGTGTATGTGATCACTTATAAAAAGGAAAGAAAAAAAGGTATTTATAAGGGGTTTTTTTTATATGTATACACGAATGCTTTGCCTTTCATTTCTAGTTTAAACTGAATGGGTTTCACAAGTTGAGCGTTTACATATACTTTAATATAAAACAAATCTAGGACATGCAATTCAAAATGAATCTATAGTGGTTTTGTTTTCTTTGTACATTTCTAAAATAAAACTGAAATTATAAACACGCCAAAAAAAAAAAAAAAAAAAAAAAAAAGACTGCACTGCTTAAAGGTCTTAATAAACAGTCTCCCAGGATGTCTACTGCTCCAGGTGCAGGTTTCAGTAGCCCATTTAGCTCATTATGTATAACAAAATTGAAAATGAGACCTCACTCCACAGAGATCCCACTGGTAAGTTTACTGTGTGTAGCTGGCTGTTGACTCAGTGCCTGCCCTTAGGTCACACCCCTCTGACATGTTTCGTCCCTCCTCAAGCTTAATCATAGACCTCTATGTGGCCTAAAGATGGGGACTGTGTCAAACTTACCAGTGGGATTTCTGCAGAGTTTGGCCTTGTTTTTCAAAAACTGAAATGATATTCTTTGTTTTAGCAGGCACATTTTGGATCGAGTAGGGGAGGGCTAGTATTTTCTCACCATCTTTCTTTCAAATAGGAGGTTTCCCTTCACTTCTTGTCATGTGGACTCATCAGAAAGCAAGAGATTATTTTAAATGTGAGGAAAATCTCTTTTGCAAGAATAAGTGTTCCGATTTCCCTTCTATAAGTGTTGCGGTGGCAATAAAAACCTGACAGTGGTTCTAACCCACCATTTAAAACTTAAAATAAGCTTTGCTTAAGTTAGAATTCAAAGCAAGCAAAAGCTTAAATGCCATGGAATGGACAGGACACAAGGTCACCTACCTTTCATCAACATTCTTGCACTTCTCCACAAGCTCATTAAGAGAGGACAGAGAAAACATTGCATTGAGAGCAGAGACTGCAACTTCTGGAGAATTTTCCACATCCAGCCGATGAAGTAGCTCCAAGATGTTGCCCTCCGTGTATTTCAACCATGACTGCAGCAGCTTCTTCTGCATGATTCCTTTCACTGCCTCTGTGACAAGACACATGGATTGTGATAAAGTGCTTAAAGTATCATATGTTCAATGCAGGAGCATGTAATAGTTTTACTCAAAATAGCCATTTGAAAAAAAAAAAAAATTCAAATTTTGAACCAGGCCTCCTGCATGGTCCATTTATGTCCCTATACCACTTGGGGCAGATTCAGGCCTCTCACTCTCTACTGAATCGATCGTGGCCCTCATTACAACTTCTCTGTGACCCAACGGGCCCCTACAACCTGAATTTCTGGAAAGCTTTCCAACTGCGACACTTCCTGAGCTCGCTTCCCTCACCCGCTAGCTTTCAGCGTCTGCTCACCGTGCTGGAGGAATACTGGTCTGCCGAGGGCACTATGCCCCATGCCTTATCTAAAGTCTATAACCTAATTCTAACGCCGTCTGCAGACTTTACCCCCTCTTACCTTCTGAAGTGGGAATCGGATCTCGGAGGATCCTTCTCAGAGACCCAAAAGTCTACTATCCTTTTATTCTTGCTGAAATCGTCCTCGTGCACAAAAGTACAAGAGAACAACTTTAAGATATTGTCCCGTTGGTACAGAACTCCGATGGTGTTACAGAAGCTCTCTCCCTCCAACTCTAATCTCTGCTGGAGATGTCAGGAGGCAGAGGGAACACTTCATCATATTTTCTGGTCGTCCCCTCAACTTGCACACTACTGGGAAGGGGTTAGTCATATCATCCAAAAATTCACGGACTACTCCGTGCCTATGGACCCAGCGTTTTTTCTGTGACATGTCACGATATGCCACCCAGAACTGAAAAGCGTTCAGTATATTATGTTACCTCCTGAATGCGGCCAAATCTTGTATCTCCTTATGTTGGCGAAAGACGCAGCCTACGTCACTAGGGCTTTGGCTATGTAAAGTGGAGGAAATGAACCTTGTGGAAGACTTGATGCTGACGCATCAACATAAACGTGTGATATATTCTAAAACTTGGACCCTTTGGAACCAGTTTGTCTACTCGGAGGAAGGGAAGTCTCTCCTAGAGACGGGAGAGGAGTAATTTATTCCTACCTGGCATTCACATAGTCTCTCCCCCCCCCCCTTTTTTTTTTACCACCCTCTCATTCCCCCCCTCCCCTTTCTCTCTGCTGTGTCTCGTTTTCCTACTCACGTTCCTCTGATTCTTTTTTCTCTACCTTTTTTACATCTTCTACATATGAGTAACTACAATGAACAGCGGAGTGGTGGTCCCTTTGTGAGTACTGGGTTACATTTCTGATTCTGGAACATATTTTTTCTGTACTCTCTTGAATTCTGTAAATGCTTGAATTGCTATTGATGCTTTTCTTATATTTTTTATTTGCCTGTATGAATATATGGTCACTTCTCTACTGCTGTTCTGTTGCCATGAATAAAGAATTTTGAAATAAAAAAAAAAGGGGGAGGTTTACAGTATTTATTAGAAAGAGTGGAATGCTTACCTGATCTGTCATTAAGTCCTTGTTGCAAAAGCTTAACTCTCTGGGCAATGGTAAGTGCTCTTAAGTGAACTTTATCAGCCAAAACCTTTGAAATGTAGAGAGAGAGATCAAACATCTTTAAATATCTACAGCCATAGGATGGTATGATGGTTCCCTTTATGTGCCAGATACTAAGACTCTAGTAGCCAATGTGCCTCAAATATTAGAGCAGATGAAAATTTGGACATTCTATGGTTAAAGTGATTGCAAACCTCTGACAAAATAATTAACACTGCATCACTTCCTACAGTGTGCATTTGCCTCAATCCAAAGCACTGATCACACAGTACCGTCTCCTTCCTCAGCTTACTACATGAGTCTAAAAGGTGATGCTGACACCAGACAATCTTAGAAAATGGCTGTGAACAGGGCAAACACACACACACACACACACACAATAACTGTTTGCCCTTGCGTTGATCTATGCAGATCTACATAGATCATGTGATCAAGCCCTTTTGTTTTCCAAATTGTTAGATTGCCTATAAATAAGATGTAATTCCTAAAATTTACCTCATAGGCAAGTTTCCTCACTTGTTCCTTAACGTCCATAGTGCGCCCAACAATTTTTGGTAAGGTACTGGCAGAGGGTGCAATGCAGGATAACACTGCTCTCCTTACTTCTGCATTCAAATCATTTTCCAACAACTGCATGTATGCTATGGAGAAAAACAATGCTTATTTTTTTAAAGAAAAAAAAAAATAAGTCCAAAGAGCACAGAACAGAACAGCTCTCCTGTCATGCACAATTAGCATCATCCACTATCAAACACAAGGAAGTATTAGCAAAAGGTTTAGGAAAGTAAACCTCAAATATACAGAGTGTATAAAGCCATCAAACATGTTACAAAGTAAATAAATCCCAGAAGTCAGGCTGTGCGCTAAATATTGATTCACTGTTACTAGCTAATAAATGGGCTAAAATCAGGTTGGGAGACCAAAATCTGTAGAAAACAAACAGGGAAGGATGAAAGAAAGTCTCATTAGCATAGCAAAGCTTTATTAGATTATGTATACAGAAAAACAAAGACAGAATTGCACTCACAAGCATATGAAGAGTAACCAGCATATCAGAGCAGAGTGTGTCCTAGATAGCTGGGTGTAACAGTCCAGATTCAATGCCGCCATCATTAGGTGTAAGAGTTCTGCCACTGCACAAGGGGAGGGAGGAACAAAAACAGGAGACTCTTCCATACAGAGAATTATTGCTCCTGCTTGTTTCAGATTGCAAGGAATTCGGGGAACACATTTTTCAGAGTGAAAGGAACGAGCAAGAGATGCTTCCACCCATCTCCCATGGACCGGTCCCCCATTTCCCCAACACGCAGCAGCAGACTAACAGGGCAGCATAAGCTGTAGACTGTGTTACACTCACCCAGCTCCAACTATGGGCGGCACAGTGGCTTAGTGGTTAACACTTCTGCCTGGCAGTACTAGGGTTGTTGGTTCGAATCCCAACCACGGCACCACCTGCCTGGAGTTTGCATGTTCTCCCTGTGCCTGCGTGGGTTTCCTCCGGGTTTCCCGGTTTCCTCCCTGTGCCTGCGTGGGTTTCCTCTCCGGTTTCCTCCCACACTCCAAAGACATGCAGGTAGGTTAATTGGATCCTGTATAAATTGTCCCTAGTATGTGTATGTATGAAAGTGAGTTAGGGACCTTAGATTGTACACCCCTTGAAGATTAGGGACTGATGTGAATGTACAATATATATATATATATATATGTGTAAAGCGGTGCGTAAATTGAGGGCACTATATACGAAATAAATAAAATGTGTGCCTAGTCTGAAATCTTTGCTCCGTTATGAGGCCGTCTTGCACCCTTCCCACATTATATATTGTATATATTTTTTTTTTTTTTAGGATAACAGAAAATGAGACAAATTATAACAGGATTAATATTACAAGTATCAAGTCACAAGGCGCTCCATTGGGCAAATAAGCTACACATAGGAAGATGCAGAGTGGCAATACCATAGTGCAATGTCACGATTATATTTTGACAATAGAAGCATCCAGGAGATTTGAGAGCCCAAAAGCCATTTCAGATACATCTACACATAAGAGTCCAACTATTCGAAAGGATTAACCTCCTAAGTAAATATAAGATAGTATAGGTGATATATTGCAAGTACCAGACTGAGCCATCTTCGGCGACCTTACCTTTTGAAATTTGGCAGGACAAATCCTATGGTCATATATAGATTTCTTGTATGGAAGATATACAGATATTTTATGCTATTCTGATCAGCAAACAGTTCTAAAAATCAGTCAGTGCGTTTAAAGTGTTACTAAACCTACAAACCGTAAAATCAGTCTGTATATGCAGTAAAGCGTGTTATACTCACTGTGGAACCTAAGGGGTTAATCCTCTGCATTGTGTAAAAATGCTTTTTGATCCTGACTTCTGTGATCCTCCCCTTTTAGCTCTTAATAAGACATATCCTGTGGATACACTGCACATGCTCAATTTGGTGTGTTTGGCTAGCGATGTTTTTGTTTCTTGGGAGAGTGCATGTGATCAATACAGGGCCAATCAGCCCAGCCCAGACAGAGGTCAGGGGTTCTGCATCCTCCTAGAGAAAACTCCTCCTACAAGCTTTAACCAGTGCTCTGCTGAACACTGATAGTCACAAGACTGCTGTAACTGCTGATGAGAAAAGGTATTTAGCAGTTTATATTTACTAAAATAATTGCATTTCGATGTTCTGTGTACTGTGAGAGGACTGGATAGTGAATGCAGGCTCCGGGGTTTAGTAACACTTTAAAAGCTGAGACACACAAGAGACAGTGATGCTGATTTTCTAAAGAATTTGAAAACGTTAACACAATATGTGAATGTTCACTTTAATTCCATAAGATGGAAAGAAAATCCCCATTTTCTTATTCCACCTGCACAATTGGATAATTGAAGTGAACAGTCACACAATTTGTGTGAACATTTGGTTTCTTTAGTGAATCATCCTCCGTACGCATTATGCAATACATACTATAATTGTCTCTGAAATATCAGTGTCACCTCACATATCACAGGAATAAATGCTCACCATTTGATACAGGACAGTTAACATCACTTGGGTCCTGGAGCCTGGCGAGCGCCAGAACTGCTTGGATCCGCACATTGGGTACTCTGTCAGTCACTCGGATGAGCATGGCATCATGGATCTTATCAAACAGGTCATCATCAATTTGAGCATTTTCGGGTAAATTTACCAGAAGTTTATAGATAAGTTGGCAAACCCTGAACCGAACTGCCATGCTATTGGCCACATGGGACTGAAATAAAAAAAAAAAAAAAAAAAATACAGATAAACTGTGTCCTTGAAACATTCAACAAATGAACTCTTCAACAAAGCTCACTTTTATTATTTAAGATTTTAGCACCATCTAGTGTTCACAACATACAATGCATGCTATAAAAACATGCATACTGAGAAAACACAACTTATACAGAATAAACTGAGGATAAAAGGCAGACATAAGAGCTCAAATAACCAAATAATCCTAAATAAGAGCTGCATGCAAGAATCAAACTGCAAGGAATGAACATTCTGAAAGCCACGTAGATGAGGCAATTCACAAAAGAGATCTCAGAAAGTGAATGCTTTCATGTGTACACAATACAGCTGGGTAATGAAATTTGTCAAACTCACAGTTTAGACATCACCTTAAAGAATAATTGCACTCTCTTCACTTTTTCTTGCCATTTTAGGATACTCAGAAATCCTGCAGGATATTTGATGACATACAATATACACACAAGGGATTTTTTTACAAGGTTATAACAAGCCATTCTTCTGTATTTGTTTTCTATGTATTCTTCATCGATTTAAAGCCCATTTCAGATGCAACAGTCCTTGTAGCGCTTTAAAAAAACAAATCTGTGGTGGATGGCTTTTCAGAGGGCAGTTGACAGGCGACTAGGTGGGAATATGTTGCCTATTCAGCGCTTGTTTTACTGCTGAAAAGGTGAAACCATTGCGTGCAATGTACTTGGTTGCAGGGTGGTTTTGGCAAGGCCCCATTCACCCAAACCAGTTGTGTTCATCAGCGGTACTGCCCTGTGGCAAATTGTGGCTGTGGCAAGTGTACAGCCCTTAGAAGGTGCATGTGCTTCTCTAGGTGGGAGGTTGGTAAAGCCGTCTGCTTTTACCACCCCCTGGTCACCCAAGTGAATAAGCCATAACTCCAGATTGACTAGCAGGAATCAGCAGGGGAGTGTGCACACTAATTCTTTTAGTACTGATAGCATAGAAGGTGGAGCAGTTATGAGGTGTGATTTTTGTTTAAGCTTTTTATGACCAAAAGGTCTGATGAATAAATGTCCAGGCAACGTTTGTATAATAGATTTTTGTTTTCTTAACCACTTGCAGTCTGGGCCAATTTTGTCATTTTTCACATACAGTATCTCCCAGAAGTGAGTAGACCCCTCACATTATTGTAAATATTCTATTACATCTTTTCATGTGACAACACTGAAGAAATGACACTTTGTTACAATGTAAAGTAGTGAGTGTACAGCTTGTATAACAGTGTAAATTTGCTGTCCCCTCAAAATAACTCAACACACAGCCATTAATGTCTAAACCACTGGCAACAAAAGTGAGTACACCCCTAAGTGACAATGTCCAAATTGGGCCCAATCAGCCATTTTCCCTCCCGGTGTCATGTGACATATTAGTGTTACAAGGTCTCAGGTGTGAATGGGGAGCAGGTGTCTTAAATTTGGTGTTATCGCTCTCACATACTGGTCACTGGAAGTTCAACATGGCACCTCATGGCAAAGAACTCTCTGAGGATCTGGAAAAAAGAATTGTTGCTCTACATAAAGATGGTCTAGGCTATAAGAAGATTGTCAAGACCCTGAAACTGAGCTGCAGCATGGTAGCCAAGATCATACAGCGGTTTAACAGGACAGGTTCCACTCAAAACAGGCCTCGACATGGTCGACCAAAAGAGTTGAGTGCACGTGCTCAGCGTCATATACATCAGTTGTCTTTGGGAAACAGACGTTATGAGTGCTGCCAGTATTGCTACAGAGGTTGAAGGGGTGGGGGGTCAGCCTGTCAGTGTTCAGACCATAAGCCGCACACTGCATCAAATTGGTCTGCATGGCTGTCATCCCAGAAGGAAGCCTCTTCTAACGATGATGCACAAGAAAGCCCGCAGTTTGCTGAAGAAAAGCAGTCTAAGGACATGGATTACTGGAACCATGTCCTGTGGTCTGAGGACACCAAGATAAACTTATTTGGTTCAGATGGTGTCAAGCGTGTGTGGCGGCAACCAGGTGAGGAGTACAAAGACAAGTGTGTTTTGCCTACAGTCAAGCATGGTGGTGGGAATGTCATGGTCTGGGGCTGCATGAGTGCTGCCGGCACTGGGGAGCTACAGCTCATTGAGGGAACCATGAATCCCAGCATGGTACTGTGACATACTGAAGCAGAGCATGATCCTCTCCCTTCAGAGACTGGGCTGCAGGGCAGTATTCCAACATGATAACGACCCCAAACACAGCTCCAAGACAACCACTGCCTTGCTACAGAAGCTGAGGGTAAAGGTGATGGACTGGCCAAGAATGTCTCCAGACCTAAACCCTATTGAGCATCTGTGGGGCATCCTCAAATGTAAGGTGGAGGAGCTCAAGGTCTCCAACATCCACCAACTACGTGATGTTGTCATGGAGGAGTGGAAGAGGACTCCAGTGGCAACCAGTGAAGCTTTGGTGAACTCCATGCCCAAGAGGGTTAAAGGCAGTGCTGGGAAATAATGGTGGACACACAAAATATTGACACTTTGGACCGAATTTGGACATTTTCACTTTTACTGTACTCACTTTTGTTGCCAACAGTTTAGTTATTTAAATTTTATATGCAAATTTACAATGTTATACAAGCTGTACACTCACTACATTGTAGCAAAGTGTAATTTCTTCAGTGTTGTCACATGAAAAGATATAATAAAATATTTACAAAAATGTGAGGGGTGTACTCACTTTTGTGAGATACTGTACATGTTAAAATCAGCATTTCAGTAAACTATTTAGAACCCCCAAACGTGTTCTAAAAGCAGAGACCCTGAAGAAAAAAAATGATGGCTGTTGCAATTTTTTATGTCACACGAGATTTGCAAGTTTATCAAAAACACAATTAAAAAAAACCCACACACTTAAAATGTATTTAATGCACACAAAACACAATGTAGGACCCAATTTTTGGTAAAAATAAAAGATGATGTTGTGCTGAGTAGATGCATAACAAATATGTTGAGAGTTAAAATATCACATGCGCATGAAATGGTTACAAACATCCCTTGTGATTGAGCAGTGGCAGGTACTTTTTAAAGGAGAGAACAAGGTCTATTAGACCCCTGATCCCAACTCTGCCCTCCAAGACAGCCACTCGACCGCTTCCCTGACCATTAGCAGCCAGGTAAGTACAGAACTGGAAGTGGTAAAATCCTCACTGCTTTTGGCTTCATTCGTTACAGAGAACAGGCATTCCTCCCTCTGCCATTTAGGCAGCTGGCCTGATGCTAGTGACAAATAATATTTGTATTGCCAACAATTTATTGTAATAAATAATGTCACTACGGCTACTGAATCAGTCTACCTCTAAATGAAGGACTGGAGTCTGCATAGTTTTTTTTTTTTTCTTTATCATCTCTTGTTTAAATGCAACATAAAAAAGGACCTTGGTGGTTTGTGTACTGTGATGTATCTACCTGCTGACTGCAATACGTATATATACGTTGCAGTTAGCAAGTGGTTTACTGGAGTTATGGCTGAAGCCATCGGCCATAACCACAGTATTTTGTTTTTCAGCCGGAGACTGGCTTTCTCATGAAAGCAGTCCAAGCAGCTAATGAGCTGCTGGATCACTTCGAGAAGCTGTTCAGAGCAAGAGCAATAAATCTCATGCTAGACCTCCTCTGTAACTCCTATAACCTGGAAAAATGTTTAAAGAGTCGCCTATGGCGATTTTTAAGTATTGTAGTTTGTCACTATTCCACGAATGTGCGCAATTTTAAAGCGTGACATGTTAGGTGTCTATTTACTTGGCGTAACAGCTGGTTATCTATTGTATTTTTTTGCATTAAGATTCATTAAAGTGTATTTTTTCCCAAAAAAATTGCATTTGAAAAACTACTGTGCAAATACCATGTGACATAAAATATTGCAACGATCGCCATTTTACACACACTATTATTATATATATAGCCTTGCTTATACTCAACTTACTCGCTCAGAATACATGCTTCACAATGGACCTTACATCAAAACACAATGCTCACTTTCTTCCGATCTCCTGCCCCCTTTAAATAAAAAAAAAAAAAAAAAACATTTGCACCTATGCAACATCCTAGAAACACTATGGATCCCACATCTGCACAATATTAGAGAGTATTCCTGCAAGATTTTAGTTCATGTTCCCAGGACCTCAGCCTGGATGGTGTTAGGGAAGTATTTTTTCTAAAATTTCTCTTTTCATGGGGGGGGGGTGGCGGTCTAACAAGGAAGTGGATTTTATACAGGGAGAAAAGTGGCCGATCAATATAAAGGTATTGCAGTCCATCACGTGTCCTCGGAAATCGCCCTTGGATTTTTGGTGGAAGTCTACTTTGAGGGGGTAAGAACAGTGCTGTCTCTGCCTGCAATACAGCAGTCTACAAAACACAAGTCTAAACAAGCCCTATGGGGGAGCAGCCGAAAGATCGCCACACACTTCTGGTTTTCCGATCGACAAAGTAGCTTGTCGCCACTTGCAGTTTGTCAGCACACCTCTCTGGAAGATCTGCTAACATACACATGCATCTACGAGCAATCGGCAGACACACAATGCAATGTCCAATAGTGACAACTCCAACCACTGCATGACTGCTGCAGGTAGGATCCATATTGCTTGTTTTGTCGGTCCCTACTGGGTTCTGTACAAACAGGACATGTCATTTTCTATCTGCACATAGCTCATAACACGTGGCATCAGAAGGAATCATTTTCATCTTCCTGTGACTAATCATTTTTATTTTATTAAATGACACAGAAACCCTCCGATCCAAGAAAAGGACAAAAAAAATGTACTGCAGGCAGCAAGGAGCCCAGAGAACACAGATCTCTGCCTCCCTGTTGTTGGAGCCAAGAGTGTTTGAGGTGATAG